GCCGTGGGTCTAAGGATGGCTTCCCAAGATGCCAACCTCTTCATGAAGAAGTACTTCTGGACAATTACACCACAAAACCAGTCTCTGTCCAGATGTCTTAAACGCCCTCAGATTTCCACCACAACTTTAACAACCTCCACCCATCCATCAAATGCTCTCCAGAACACGCGGACAATGGAACCCTACAGACAACTATACACAAGAAACCCATACACCTTCACAGAGCCAATCCACCACCAAAAAAAAATAAAATCTGTTATATAAAACATCAGGCACGCACCTACCACAGAATATGCACTGAGGCAAAAGTCAAGGCTATTCACATTTAAAACTGCCTTCACCAAACAAGGCCGCTCCACTAGCGAAGTAGATTGCATCAGGGAATGGGCAACCCAAATACCCTGGGAGAACCTGCTTCAACACAGAACTAACCTCTGCCCCCCCTCCTCCCCCCAACTGCACACCCCTAGTTGTCACCTACTACCCACATTGGAACCCATATGGGATATCATCAAACAGCTACAGCCCATACTCGCTGCCCCCCCCATCCCTGAAAGAACTCTTTCCTGAACCCCCAGTTCTGGCCTTCAGACAACCCAAATGCAACATAAGAAGCAAGTTCCAGGACACACCAATTCAAAATGGCACCAGTCCCCGCTGGTACAACAGAGGCAAAACCATCTCCATGGCTACAATGATCAACAACCCCCACCCACCCACCCCAGCTCCCCACAACACTCCTTTAAAGATCTATGGGTCCTACACATGCTGCTCACATCATGTGATGTATCCCATCCAGTGCACTAAATGCCCCACTAATAACTATGTGGATAAAACCAATCACTACGCTTTCAAATGAACTCACACAGGAAAATGACTGGCAGCTCAGGTAAAGTCTTGAATGCTGCAAGATCAAGGTGAGAAAGTTCAGTTCACTGGCACCTGACCTGACCTACTGTAGTTTTGTTTTTTTTAAAACCTCAACAGTATGGATATTGGTGAACAATGATTGGAAAAACTGGCTGTAGAACGTCTACTAGTCTGTCATGATACAGCCAGCTTTCCGCTTTGTTTGCTCCACCGTAACAGGTGAGCAGCAGCAAAAACAATATTGGCGTTAGTCCACGTGCTAAACCATAGTAGTTGCTGAACTAAAACAAGGTTTTAGTGGGTGACTGTGTTGTTTATTTATTGAAGAGTTGCGTACAAAAATTGGACAACTGGCAGAAAAAGCTTCATAAATATGTGCTGAAAACTTTTTTTTTTTTAAGACATACATGGCAGTCTTCCAACAGTAATTACAGAAAGACATATCATTTTTAAGAAATCTGTAGGCCAAGCTTTGTCAGCCCATGCAGTGACACCTCATGAGCTTGTTATAAGAACATCTGGATTCAGGCATCAACGTGAGCTTGAAAACATCATGCTGACAGTATCGCGAGAGAGCAAGTTTTCCTCAAATGGTCAGCTGGGATTCGAAACCACATTTTTTCTTTTAGAGGTCAAACAAAAAGTACTTCCATAGCAATAGCAGAGTCCCCCATTAAAAAAAAAGAGTCTCTTCTAATCGCAGGTTACTGTGTTTTACCTCCCAAGATCGGTTCTCTAGCTGTGCAGGAGGATAAGCATTAAAAACTGTTAAAGAGGAAGTGTATGAATAGAAATAAAACATATTGAACCTCGTTCTCCTCTTTCTCCCAGTGGTGAGAATGCCATCCATGGCTCTCCTAATTTAGAGTGAATAGTAAATCAGACCCATTGTATATGTTATATGACGGGGTGGCCAAACTGCAGCTCGCGAGCCACATGTGGCTCTTTTACAGTTAAAATGTGGCTCGCAGAGTCCTCCATGCCCCGCCCCCCCCATTCTCTGCCTATTGGGGGATGCGGGGGGGGGGGGGCAGACTTGAGGCTTCTGCCTGCGGCAGGGTGGTGGGGCTAGGGGCTTCTGCCAGAGAAGACTGGTCCTTGCTGAGGGGTGGGGGGACGGACACACACAATTTAAAGGGTCGGGCCTCCCCAACAGCTTGAATCACGCCCCACCCCTTACCATCAGCAGCCCTCCCTGTAGCTCCGCGTGGCAAACAGCTGGGAGCTGCAGGTAGGGGGCCACTGCTTTAGCTCCCTGAAGCTCCCAGTTGTTTGCTGCTGCCTCTGCCCAAAGTGCAGCTCTCAGCTTGCCGGCTCCAGCAGCTGCCGTGCAGGGAGGGGGCCCAGCGGGACCATGTGACTGAACAGGGCCAGCAAACCCTGGCAAAAATCACATGCCCCCCTCATGTCGCCTCTGGCTTCTGCCCAAATGAGAGGGGTGGCCTGGACAGGCGCCTCCCACAGGGCTGAATCTCTGAGCTCCCACTCCCTGCAGGGCTGAAGTCCTGAGCCTGGGCAGGCGTGCCTCACAGGACTGAAGCCCGGAGACTCCCCTCCCCGTGGGGCTGAAGCCCTGAGCCCCGGCTCTCAAACTTGTGAAGATTGTCGTATGTGGCTCAGAGGGTCAGTAAGTTTGGCCACCCCTGTTATATGACATCCCAATGCAACATGCTAAACTTCAATGCACAGGGCTGGGTTTCTCGAGCCCTCATTTCAGGGAACAGGAAGTAAAATAATGCTCACACTCTTTACCCTGCTGTTTTATTTGCTGTCTGCTTTAAAACAATAACAAATTACTTTGCTAATCTCAAAGAATAGCCATTTTTCAATCCCATCATAAACTTGACTAAGTTCCTGTCATACAATTTCTGGGTCATAGATATATAAATGTTTTCCCCTGTTTTCCAGTAAGCTTTTTTTTTAAAATTACATCTGGAAATCTGCATCATTTTCTTATGAAACTCACTCCTCTGATGAATGTGTTTACTCTGATCCTAGCGTTTTTTTTAAAAGGTAAAGAGGGCAGGGGTGTGAGTGTGTGAAACAAGCTGCTCACTACATTTTTATTCTCTGTTTAAAAGACGCTCTCACCCTTACAACATCACATGCAAGCTGGCCCGAGAGAAAATACCAGGAGGAAGAGTCTGGACTAAAAAAAGGTTAATAAAGGCAATAACCCCAAAAACTAACTCATTGGCAGCAATTACCAACCCATTTAAAAATTAATGATGAACCAAGGAACAGCAGCTTTTTCCTTTTTAAAATCTTGTCAGGAACATGTAGTGCTAACTATAATGGAAGAAGCAAAAAGTAATTGGAAAAACTTATTTCCTTGTCATCAGAAGGGATTATTAAAGGAGACTATCCTTGATGCAATTAAATTAATTTGATTATCTAATACACTCTAGTACAGGAAAGGCCTTAAAATGTTTCATTGTTTTCATGTAGTGACAGATTCAGAGTTTTTAAAAAAGTGACAGAATGCTAACAGATGACAATATGAGGTTATTTTACAGGAAAAATGCTTTTGTAGCTGCTAAGAAGAAAACTGCTTTAGCTATTTTTTAAATAAGAAACAGTTGCGTTTGATGGAGAAGCTGACTTAATAAAAGAAAGTACTGTATATTTTGTCCTAATACTATTGCCAGTAAGGGGACATTGTCAGCCTGTTTCAAATCTCTAACCACTGAAATATGCATGTCTGCACTTAAGATTCCTTTGATAATCCCAGTTTATAAGGGAATTAGATGCCCAAATTCCATTGCATTTCAATGGGATTTGAGTGCCTAAGGGCCAAATTTTTAAAGGATTTTAGGCTTTGCTCAGCTGCAGTTTTCTCCTGCCACAAACGCTAAATGGTCTGAACTTTGTTTCACTTGTGTGGCATTACTTAGCCTTAGCCCATCAGCTTTACAATAGGTTTTTGGGAAGCTAAAGGGATAACATTGCAGTTAAAAAAAAGTTGTAAGTATCTGGAAGACTGGTAATAACTTGTGCCTCTTTAGAACCCATTTAGATGAGTCATGCCAGGTAAATTTTGATTTTCTTCTATCTCATCGATTTAGGTATTAATACCATGCTCATCTCCACAGTGTCAGAGTATTTCTAGTGAGCTGCTGAGGGTATTATGCATTAATTATGTTAACAACTACAAAGAAACAGTGATATAAACACTTCTTGTTTTGACAGGGTAATTTTTATTAATAATGCACATAAATCTGTCACACCTAGTAGGCGCCAGTCCTTTTTCACACTCTAAGACTTTCGGGAGAATAAACTAGAAAGACAGAAATTAAATGAAGTTAAAGACACACACTTGCAGGTGGGTCGACTTTGGATTTTTTTAACGTGATTTTCCATGAATGTGTCTCTAAAAATTAAATACATTGAGAAATACAGTAGAAAGAATATATTTACAATTATAATGGGCACTGCCAACATATCCAATAACAAAAATAAAACAAAAGCTTTTTTCATGTTTCTTGCATGCTTTTTTCCCCACAGAGATTTTTAAATATGATTTTGTTTTTTTTTAAAAATACAATAAGGAAATAATTACATTCTTAATATGAGAACATTATCTTACAACATACAATCAGACCCAATTAATTTGAACGTGTCTAAAAATGAAAAACTGATACTAAATTAAGTATTCTCTGTTAGAAAAATCAAAACACCAAAATCATCCTATAAAAAACACCTTTGGTCTCCCCAAAATTAGGATCCGATATTTAAAAAAGCACCTGATACAGTAATAGGAGTTTGTTTAGGAAGCACATGTGTAACATTTTCTCAAAAGACATAGAAATGTGATGATTTAAAATACAAGAGTTTTCTCTTTAAAATGTCATACTGTCTTATTGCTGAGTTTGCCTGGTAATTTTGAAATTTCAAAACTATGAAAATACAAACTTTGTTGCTTTTTATTAAAATTTGTACAGTAAGAGTAACAAGCAAAAAAATGAGTATTTCACAGCACTGAATATGTTCTGGAAAGAGGCTATTTCCGGAGTTTGGTATATTCTATATTACAATACCTTGGCCATTATATAGAATAGTCTTAGCTAGTATGCTAATTGCAAAATATTAGCAATGTACTTGCACATTTAGTTACACAATATGTCCACAATATGTCATTTAGAACAGGCATTTAGGGGTCCCATTCTTAAAGGTGTATGTGGCAGAATGGAAGAATCATTACATGGAGTTGTGCATCATATAAGCAGCCTGCAATTTGTCTGCTTAGAGGAATTGGCACACTCATCTCAGGCATGAGATAAAAAATTAACCCCAAGTCACTCCTCACTATGGGGAAAAAAGTTACAGAGCCAATCTGGGGGAAAAAAGACTCAAATTAGTTAGGCTATTGACTGTTCAGTGTTATTGATGTGGGACCACTTATTAACGGCAACTGTTTCAGCATCACACATGTTGACTAGAGGCCTAATTTGCATCATAAATATGTACAGATATAAATTAAATATTTAGTGAAATATACAAATAAATAACTTTTGAAGTAAAAAGCCTAAATGAACTTACTTTTGCATCAAACTTTTTTTCCTGATGTTTCTGGGATACTCTATAGTACTGTAGTCCATATCATGCAGCATAATTTGTGCCCTTTACCTAGAAAATGTTAAGGTCAATCTAAAATACAATACAATAGTCAGCTTTGAATAAGAGACAATGCTGACGTATTTTCCTACTGTATTTGCATTATTGTGGCCCCTAAAAAAGCCATACTCTTGGGAGGCAACAAGGCCTACTGCCATTTTGGACTCTGATCCTGCACCACTGAGGGAGCCTTGTCATTGACTTTAATGTGTAACAGAATCAGACCCTTAGTAGTGGGCCATTATGACCCAGTCTTTCAAAAGCGCTCAGAGCCCACAACTGGGGCCACATTTTTGGGGCTGCTGGGTGCTGAACATTTTAGCCTATGGTTGTAAGCCTGCAGTTTGCAAGCATGTATAACACCCATGGATGTCCTTTTGCTCCTTACTTTGAGTTTTACGTACCTGTGTACATTTACAAAGCTATGTAAATTATTACTAGTGATAGAACTGAAGGACTGGGCCACCAAGTGATCTGTTCTTCCCTTGATGTCTGTATTTGCAATGTTGCCAACTCTTCTGTTTTTATCAAGAGACTGGTGATATTTGGTGCCTTATTTAAAACCCCAGCACCTGGAGACAAGTGATTATGTCAAAATCTCAACTTTAGTTTCAAGTTCCTGATTGTGGAGATAATCTTGAAAACATGACCTGAGTGCATTATAAAGGCTCGAAAAACAGAAGACAAATAAAAATAACTTTTTTTAAAAAACAAAAGTTTCATGATTTTTAAGCCACTCATTAATTTGGGGGCTCGACTCATGAATTTTGAACAGTTGGGTTTGGCAATAAGGCATCTGACTTTTCAGCAGAGACATACACATAACAAAGGGAAAACAGACTTCTGAATTATTCATAGACTAAAAGGAAAACCCTGTCACTTGACAAACAGAAAATGAGTCCTCTCTCACAAATGTCTTGTCACTTCTTATTTCACCATCGTGTATAAAGGAGATTGGAAATTCACATTTCCTCAAAAATATTATCCAGGATCTGAAAGGACTGCAGGAAGCAAATACAATAGAGTTATAAAACCTGACTTTAACAATGTTAAAACAAGCAAAATAAAACTGCATGAGCCTTTTAAAGTTGCTGTTATTTAAAAATTAATTTTAGAGGCTGTCTGTGGGATTTTTTTGGGAGGTGCAGAAATGAAGCAACATACAAAAAGCACTTTGTTGCCTTTTTAAAATCATGCCCAAATAATTTTTAGACTACATGAGAGATGTTTGAAGATGACAGGTGCTTAGGCACAACAGCAACAACAACAATAAAAAGAACATATTAAAATGCATGGCAGCTTTTTATGTCCTGATGACAAAAGCATCTGTCTAAAATATATCAAAAAATGCTTCACAGCCAAGTTGTCATTCCATGGTCGTCTTATAACCATTGCGAAAAGAGTGGTGGGGAAGAGTTCCTGACTTCCCAGCTGAAACAAGTCATGTCGTTCCTGTGGAAACATTCCTTCGATCTCCTGCCAAGTGAACAGGTAACAGCTGAATGAATCCTAACGAGCAAGCTTGTGAAAAGTCCTCTCTCAGGTGGTGGAATTCTGAAAGTCAAAATTAGCCTTACTAGTACAACATATCTAAATTTATATTATTTCATCTGGGTCTCAAAGCGTGCACCAGTCTTGATTTCCATTCAGGACTTTTGATGCAATGTCATTTACATTGTGGGTTTAACCTCTTTCAGCAATGTAAACTTTCAGTTGCAACTATATGCTCCTTTTTACTAAGATTTTTACAAATAAAGTTGGAAATAAAGAGTTACAGGCAATAAAAAGGGGCACACTCAGTTACACAGTAATACAGTAGAAAGAGTACAGTCAAACGAAGGCCAAGCTACTGTTAACTGAACATAATTATAAAACCTTGTCACTTGACACCACTTTACAGATGAGTCTTTTGCAGCCTACGTCTTGGTCCATATGAAGCAAGGCCTTTAAGCAAAGTAAACAAATTTGTAATGCTTATGTTCCATTTTTCAGCTCCCATTCCTAGAAGAGAAAAATAAAAGATGGGGAAATATTATAGAAATCTACGTGTCTATACATACATGTACTCTGTATGCCATTATCTAAATCAGAGATGAAGATATTGAACAGAACCTGACCCAGAACTGATCCCTGTGGGACCCCACTCAATATGCCCTTCAAGCTTGACTGTGAACCACTGATAACTACTCTCTGGGAACGGTTTTCCAAGCAGTTATGCACCCACCTTATAGTAGCTCCATTTAGGTTCTATTTCCCTAGTTTGTTTATGAGAAGGTCATGTGGGACAGTAACAAAAGTCTTATTAAATTCAAGATATACCATATGTACCGCTTCCTCTCTATCCACAAGGCTTGTTACCCTGTCAAAGAAAGCTATTAGGTTGGTTTGACACGATTTTTTTTTTAAATTAAATTAAATTAAATTAATGGAGATATCCTATCTCCTAGAACTGGAAGGGACCTTGAAAGGTCATTGAGTCCAGCCCCCTGCCTTCACTAGCAGGACCAAGTACTGATTTTTGCCCCAGATCCCTAAGTGGCCCCCTCAAGGATTGAACTCACAACCCTGGGTTTAGCAGGCCAATGCTTAAACCACTGAGCTATCCCTCCCACCCCATTTGTTCTTGATAAATCCATGCTGTTACTTATCCCTTATCATCTTCTAGGTGTTTGCAAACTGATTGCTTAATTATTTGCTCTGTTATGTTTCTGGGTACTGAAGTTAAGTGCATGACCCAGATCTGCAGGGCTCCCTGAACAAATGCATGGGACATGAGGCAGGGATGGGCTGAGGCCATGCTAAAGCCATGCAGACATAGTCTTTGGTCTGAAGTATTATCTGTGGAGCAATTACACAACTGATTCAGAAGTGTGTGTGTGTGTGGGGGGGGGATTCTTCTTCCCCATTTCCACTGCAGAGACAGAATAATAGAAATGTAGGGCTGGAAGGGACCTCAAAAGGTCATCTAATCCAGGCCCCTGTGCTGAAGCAGGCCCAAGTAAACCTAGACCATCCCTGACAGATGTTTGTCTAACAGGTTCTTAAAAACCTCCAACAAGGGGATTCTGCAACCTCCCTTGATACTTAACTAAATTATCCTTATGTTAGAAAGTTTTTCTTAACGCTAATTGGGCTTGATGCTGGATTCCTGAATTTGTCGCTCATTCCATAATCTTTAAGAGGTCTTTCTCACTGACAACCGGCAAATATCTTGCTGTTGCTTGACAGCAATAATTTATCTTGTTAAGATAATAGGTGCATCATTCCAACTGCATGATCTTTTTTGATGTTACAGTCATGGCAGAGCACCCGTGGTGACCCATAGCTGGTGTCCCTTAGGCAGGGCCTACAGCCGGCCCTGCCCTTAGGGATGCATGAACAGAACAGGCCCCAGAGTCTGAACTTTTAGATTTGAGTTGGTTCATTAAGCATAAGCCGCTCCCCAACTCCGTTACTCTCTGGAACACCCCCTCGGGCTCCTGTATTGTCAAGATATTTCTATTAGGGGGCCAGAGGTTTGAGAGTCCCTCTGCTAGATGGGTTGCTCTGTTCTAATTCCTCCTGCTTCCCCTTTCAGAGTGCACTATGTGCGCTAGAGTAGTCTCTAACCAGACAGGCCCCAAAGCATGGGAGATGAGCAGCCACTCCAGCAGAGTGTGCGCAGCCCTGAAGTTACATTGTGCCATATAACACTCAAATGAGGGAAGTAACAGATAAAAGGGCTCATAGCAGAGAGAGTCAGCGCACCAGGGGTCGGACACAGAATGGACAGAGCTGGGGAAAGAGAGTAAGAATGGAGGCAGACAAGGGGTAGAAATAAAAAGATGAAGCGGATCAGATAAGTATCCAAAATTTTCAGGGTTTACGCAAACACATCCTACCTATTGTGAAATGTATCCATTGCTAGGAACTTTAGAGTTAGCACAGACATGAAACTTGCCTCACCTCCCACACACTATGAGGGAGGTTACATATGCTGAACCAATTCCACTCTCCGGATGCTCACATACAACTCCCACTGATTAGTCAAATCATTAAGGACCAAATGGGCCTCTAGGCTTACTCATAACTACACAAGGCCAAAACATTAAGTGCCAAATTCCACCCTCATATTTGTGCATTCAACTCCCATTGAAATTAATGTGAGTTGCAGATGCATACCTGATGGTGGAATTTGGCAGTATCTAGTTGTGAATGAGCTCAGTACAGTTTGGGTCGTATTATCTAATTCAGCTAAATTTCACTGTTAATATTTGGAGTATGAGGTTTTATGAAAAGGTGGCAACAGCTGTTAAATCTGAATTCAGTATGTGGAATTATTTTCCATTGATAGAAAAGTAGCTTCGTATTCTTTTAAATAGTCTAATCCTACACCCAAGATTTTTCCAGAAGAGACTCTGATTAACCAATACTGTTCTTTAAATCTTCTATTCACAACTAACAGAGCAGATTTTGCTGCATGGCACTATTCTGAGCAACTCTTGTAGCTTGTAAAATACATCAGTAAGTGAATAAATAAATTGCTAATATATAGTCTCTTTCATCCCAAGAACTTTACTTTTCAGAAATGGGGAAACTGAGGCACAGATAGGGTTAGTGACTTGCCTTATGTCACATGACAAGTTTGTGGCAGAGCAGGAGAGCCCAGCTCTCCTGACTCTCAGTTGTATGTCCTAGCTACTGGATGGTGTTCCCTCACTAATGCTTTGCTAAAATGCATTTGTTTGAAAATTCTGCTGTCAACACTGCAAACGTATATAATGAATGAAAAATATATATCTTAGCATCAATGAAATGTTAAAATGCTTCCTACAATACAACAAATATGGTTGTTTTAGACAGAATAATGGAGTGCACTATGAAGAACAGATGTGTAGGGGTATTGTTTATAACTGTAGTTAGCAATGAACGGACCAAAACAACACAAAGATGTCAGCCCCATGCCAGCAGTAACACTCCTTTCTACATGCTGTACGAGTTGTTCAGTAACATACCTTAACTGGCCAATTCAGCCAGGCTCAGAAAACTGTCATGAAAATCCCATTTAACATAAAGCACAAGTAGCACGTCTATTAAAGACTATATTAATGGGGTAGGAATGCAAAGTTTCATCCAGGCGCTGGTCGGAACAAATTAAATTCAACGGATTTCTACTTTAATTGTACAGCAAGAGTGGTTGCTTGCACAGTACATTTTCAATTACTACAGCCTAGAACTATTTAGCTCATGCATCAGCTGGCAGTGATTATATCTGATATTCTTTTGATTACTAAAGCATTGGGTTTAACAATGACACTAAATGCTTATTGACTAAACCCATTAGGGTAATGGTGAAGGGAGTAAAGGACCAGTCTGTATCACAGGCCATTTACAGCGAACTCCATAAAAGAACAGAGAGAGATACAGAGTCAAATCTATCATCTTAATATAGTATTTCTGTTCTGTCATCTGGTTCCCCAAATTTACCCCATCAGAATGAAATTAATCCCTGTACAGAGGATCAGCATGAAACCATACACTATTTAATGTGAATGTAGACCTTGGGCCAGCCCTCTATACTGGTGTGAAATTTCACCCTTAGAAATTCAAGCAGCAGGAACCAATCTTTCTCTCCCCATGAATAAAGGAGAGATGAGAAACATGTCATGAGGGACAGGGACAGAAGAAGAAAGTCAAACAATAGATCTTCTCACCTTTGCTTTTCGAAGGACGTGGCCTCGACACGGAGAATTACTTGATGAAGGAGGTTTCTTCAGCACTGCTGCACTGTTCACTGGTATTGAACATTCAGTATCACTTGTATCACAACTGGAGATAGGAGAGTTTTCCAGAGTTCGATGCTTGAAAATTGGAGACTGACAGACAGAGCAGACAGAATGAAAGTCTCAGACTGGGCAATGTTTCCTCCAAAATATTCATAAAAATAAAAATCTTCAACTGGGTAAATTTTTCCCCAAATATTCATGTAAATATTATTTATTTAAATTTAGAACTGCAGAAAACTACAAGTATTGTTTTAAAGTTATGAAAAGTACATTGACAGACAATCCTTTCCAAACATGAACTACACTCATTAGGACAGCAAATCCCATTTCCTGAATAAGCAAAACAAAAGAAAGTAAATAGTTATATACTCTATGATGGCTGCTTCAGTTCCCTCTAAATGACTGAACAACAGTGACGAGGTGGGCCAGAACAGTGAACCAACACAATAACTGACTATTGAACCAACACAATAATTTTGTCCATATTGACCCTTGTGATATTAAAGGTCTAGAGAGGTTAAGCTCTTTGGGGGAGGGACTGTCTCTTATTATATGTTTGTACAGCTCCTAGCACAATGTGGCCGTGGCCTCTAGGCACTTCCACAATACAAATGGTATCACATGTTCCCTATAATTCCATACATATTGATTCAATGTCATTGTTGAAGAGGACACCAGTTGCAGGCGAGCAATGGAAATAATTCAAAATAAGCCCATGAAAAGAAAGCAGCCAAGCTCTATAGATCAGATGCCTGATCCTGCAAGATGCTGAACACTCTCAGCACCCAGTCACTTTCCTGGATGTAGGAATCCCATTTCATAGGATTGAGCCCCACATGGTTGGGAGCTTTTCTGAAATCATTCAGCTGTGGACGTACCTGTGGGCTTGAGGTTCCTGATTTGGGCTCGATTGCCAATCCCAGTGTGATACCGCCAGCCAAGGCTTTCTTCAGGCTCTCTTTCACCTCAGTCAGTTCCAACTCCAGATTAACACGCTCCGTCTCCTTCAGCTTACATTCCTCGTCCAGCTTCCTCAACTTATCTTCAAGAATCACTTGAGTCTTCCTGCCTGAAATCCAGAGACGGGTGCTATTCCAACAGCAGGCTACAGCTGATGGACTCAGTGCTAAACAGGGTTCACTTATTTACGAATAGGGAACAAATGCTTTAAAATGCTTGGCTACCCAAACAGCTACACACACTGTAAGGTTTCAGCCTCATTCAAGTAAGATGTTTGGCACTTCAGACAATGCTCAGTGCTTCATCTGGGGCACTGTCCTGGGGCACCATCCTGTTCTGTTTCTAGCCATGTTAATTTTCCGTTAGCCTCTGTACCACAAAAATGGAAGTAGCCAGTGATTTTAAAAAAATGGTGACCTTTCCTACTTCTCTGTGAGTTGCTGATAATTGTGATAGCGTATTTTGGAGTTAAATGCGCTAATAGCACAAATATATTTGTATAGCAATTATAGTCTAATTTTATATATTTTAACCCAAAAACTGTACCTCCTGTTACACCTGTAACAAGCAGTTTGGATTTTTGAAAAATACATTCCAGGCCTCAGGAAAGAATTCCATTTGGTTAGCTAGAATTCTTCAGAGTGCCGGGCTCTCACACAATAAAGCACCTCATACCAGCATTAACTTCAATGGCAGCTCGCAGGTCTTTCCTTTCTTTTCGGAGCTGAGCCAACCTGTTCCTCAGAGCTTCTCTCCTCCTTAGCAACTCCTCCTCTTTGGTTTGTAACCTCTTCGCATCTGCCTCGACGCGGTTCTTGCCATATTTGTACTGATCTGCATCTATACAGAAAGATTAAAGAGTAATGATGATTTTATTAACTCCTTCTCTGAATGGCTCAGAATATAGGAACATCACTAATTAGAATTTGAGATGGGACAAACAAAATATAAACACCCCTGTAACTTCCTGCTCTCAACTTTGTGACTTGGGCCCCTCTGATCTCCTTGGATAAAATAAGCAGTGAAACAACCCTTCATCTATTCATCAAATCCAACCCCACCAAAATCTTTTGCAATGTTTGAGAAAGTTGGGTTAACATTTTTTCTTTTCTGTTTTCACTGGCTTTTCCCACACTTCTTGATCCCTGCTGCGATCTGAAGCACAAATGCTGAAATAATGTGAGAAAGACTTATTTTCAAGAACCTTCTGGAAGAAATGGAAAATACCAGACACCTTCCAAGACAACTGTTCTAAGAATTCCTGCCTGAGAGTGCAAACAAAACAGGTTCTGATAAGTATGCAAAACTTTTCCTCTGCTTATCCAGACTCAGGGCTGGTCTACACTACGGTGGGGTGGGTGAGTGGGAGGGATCGATCTAAGTTACTCAACTTCAGCTACGTTAATCTTCAGCTAACATAGCTGAAGTCAACATACTTAGATCTACTTATTGCCGTGTCTTCAGTGCTGTGTGTCGACAGGAGACGCTCTCCCGTCGATTCCCCTTGCGCATTTCATTGAGGTGGTGTACTGGAGTTGGCGCTAGAGAGATCAGCAGTCGATTTATTGCGTCTATAGTAGACACGATAAATTGACCCCCGCTGGATCGATTGCTGCCCGTCGATCCGGCCAGTAGTATAGACAAGCCCTCAATCTCTGACCTGAGTCTTAACTGAATAATGAAGTTGGAAAACTCCCAGTTTCGCTGCTCCTTCACTTCCACCCTGGGCAAAAGGCTGAGGTCCCCAGACATGTGCCTCTTCTCTCCCAGTAAGGATAGACTCTGACGAAATGGCAGATGTCTCACCCTCTTTTCCTCTGCCTAGGAAACTTCTTGGCCCAGACTCCTCTGACATCTTTAAATCAGAGATCTTCACACACCCCTTTCCTGCACAACGGGGACCGAACCTCAGAAGATGTTTTTCTATATTTCAAACCTATTGAACTCCACAACATGTCAAAGCATTTTATAACCTTCCAAATCTAGAATTAAATGTTTAGATTATTAAATCCCATACTAGTATAGATTAATTTCTGTAAGACACTATTACATTTTTATAAAATGCCATTAGTTTCATCTGTATTATTATCATTATTAAACATTTATATTATAGTAGTACTGCAACCAGGCTGGGCCCCTACAACTTTTCCAGAAGACCCTGGCATGAGAAATGTAATAACAGAACCTTCCAAGTAAAAATCTCGAGGTAAGAGAAGAGGGTGCTAGTACTTACTGAGGTTACTAAATGAAAAACAAGCCTGAAATTCAACAGTCTAAGTGCTAAGGCTGGTCATTTCATCCTAAGGCAAGAAAAATGTATTCTTGAAAGTTCTCCTGGCTTCCCTTCTTCTTGATTAAAAATGCCAGACCACCACATAAGGCTACTAGAATTACTTTTTAGGTTGCTGAGTTCAGGACAAAACAAAATTATTATTCACTTTGGTCACCATTATATGTCATCAAAGTTAGTAAAAATGCAATGTCCCAAAATAAGTTGCAAGAGCAACAATATGAGCATTAATACTTCAGTATAATACAGACAGACAGACAGAGGTGTTTAGTGTCACAAATTTTGTTTAAACAGCTTTTGTGTGCTCAAAGTGTACTTTAAAAAATCCCTCTGAGCATTTTAAAATACTCAGGTGTCCCAAATATGCATTTTTACCATTTCAAATGCTAAGAGGGGAACATAACAAAGACTGACAAATATGCTCTTAGGAATAATGGAACGTTAAAAACTGACGGAGGCCAGAGAAGCTCATTATTCAATTTACACAATTCAGTTCAATTTTAGTCTTAGATTTGAGACCCGCAAAACCTGTTCAAATATTCCTGGAGCTTTAGAATGGATATGACTGTATAATTAGTATCTTTGAAAAATTACATTTTATTACAGAAATTATGAGTAAGATAGGTTTTGAAAAGAGAGGCCTACTGCTTCAACATTTTTGCCACGATCTCAAAAATTCATACCAGCAGCCAATGAATTATGTGTTTGAACCAGTTATTTTTTGTGTGCCTGTTTTAGATTATAATAAAATTCTCAAGGGAGAGATCATATGCACTTATGCATTTATACAGCTCCAAGCACACAGCTGATGTTTACCTAATGATTCCATATGTTAATAAAATGATAACCAGAGATACAAGGACTGATTCTGATTTCACACCAGTTTTACATGGACTTCAATAGTTACTACTCCTCATTGACTCTGATGTAAGTCAGTTCAGAATCAAGTCTTCAGTCTGTCTTTCCAAAGTGATGGTTATTACAAGAATCTACCTGCTAGCACCACCAGTCTGGTCTTTACCTTGCTTGCTAGCGGGAAAGACATGTCATGTTTCCTAATGCCCAAAGTTACAAAGCAAGATTGTTAAGAGATGCACTTACTCGATGCTGTGCGTTTCACACTTGACGCTGATTCAGATTTCTTCTGTTGGTTGTTTAAAATTCTTCCTTTTCCCAAGATCCCATTTGCAGTTGCAGGGCTTTTTTTGCCCTTAAACTGTTTGAAAACAAAATATTTATGCAATGGTAACTATTGTTGTACAGCTGGTGCCATAGTAACACTTTCACCAAGAGCAAAGCTTGAAAGAGTTGTTTAAAACTGCCTGCCTTCCAGGAGGCTGTTCATATGCTTAATTGATTCTGTTGGAAACAGTGCATCCTCTAGAGACTGTATCATTGAGAATTGCCTATTCAGTAAGATCACAGGCTGGCAGTCACTGGAAATTATGAGATTCTCCCTCTCTTCCTCGTCCATCTGTGATGGCATCACTGTTGCTAATTTGTTCATTTTTTTTTATTCAAATCTGGCACATTTTAAGAATGATGCTCTAATGGAGCTAACTGGTACTTTGTAACAATTTTCTATTGCAAAGCCCTTTAAAAATATAGTAGGGATGCACATTATTTTCATACCCATCACAAGAAGCTGTAGAACCTTCAGCCTTGCCCACTCACAGTGAGGTACAATTTTAAACTGTTGCTTATGTATTACAGGTCCGCATGAGGTGCATTTCCTAGGAATTGCATTGCTATAGTACATGGATGCCATTTCCAAATTAAATAATTAAAACCACACAACTTCATCCACAAGGAGTTAATCAACTGATTCTCTCCTAGGGTACCTCCAACAAAGCGAACTCACTGAAAAAGGCAAAATTAAGGTGGTTTTTGTACCACACCCTTAAAGTGGCTAGACACAAGCTCTAGCTAACTACTAGACAAGATAAGAACATGTCAGAGCCCCGGAGAACACTCTGCTGTCAGCCTCTAGGAATGAAACCACACAGACAGACAACAAGAGCCAGCGGCGGCTCCAGGCACCAGCGCTCCAAGCGCGTGCTTGGGGCGGCAAGCCGCGGGGGGTGCCCTGCCGGTCCCTGTGAGGGCGGCAGCCAGCCAGCCTTCAGCAGCTTGCCTGCAGGAGGTCCGCCGGTCCCGTGGATTGGGCAGCAATTCGGCGGCGGGTACGCCAAAGCTGCAGGACCGGCGGACCTCCCGCAGGCATGCCACTGAATCTGCGGGACCGGGGACCTCCCACAGGCACGCCGCCGAAGGCAGCCTGCTTGCCGTGCTTGGGGCGGCAAAAACGCTAGAGCCGCCCCTGACAAGAGCATTCTGGCCAATGACAAGTTCTGCAAAGTGCAATAGGATAGCCAGGTCATAGGGCAGTTAGGGCTTTTGAGATGATAATCAGCACCTTGGACTGTACCCAAAATAGGAACTGGAGCCAGTGCAGAGCACAGAACACAGTATTATGACATGGAAGTGGCCTGCCCTGTTTCAATGGTGGTTGCTATATTCTGGACTAACTGAACCTTCCACGCAGTGTTGAAGGGCAGCCCCAAGTAGAATACATTGCTGCACTCTATCCGGGCGATGACAAAGCTATGGATAACCATGGCACTGGTCCCATCCGAAAGAAAAGACTGAAACTGAACCCCCTGCAAGATGTAGTGATAGGGATGAAATTAACGTGTGCATCCTGGGTACAAAGGAATATAATCAGAGCCCAGTTCACATTTAGTACCTGTTTGTAAATGTGAGCTTTTAATAGCAACTACTGGACATTTATAGTAGGATATAGAAACAGTACAGTTGTGAGCTGTACCAGATAATTTTGCTGAATGGTATGCAAAGACATAGTCCCTGTCTATTCACAGAACATTTTCTTCATGCCATACTATAGAATATTTCCTTATGTGGTCAAGTTCCTAATTTCGTATTTATTGCTACTCCTTGTCGCAACCTGAGCACCAGGTTGCAAATAGAATCCGACAAGCAAGTTATTTATGGTTCGTTTCTGTCATCCTCACTCAGGCTGAGTAGCTCCTTAACCGACCAAGAAGCCCCACTGAATTCAACAGGGCCATGCGCAGCATAAGATACTGTACTTGAGGGGAGTAAGGGTGGCAGAATCTGGCACTAAATTACTGGAGAGCAGTTTGCAATACTGGCTAGCTGCCAGGAGAGCATGTGGGTTTCCTGTTGCAGGTGTGCATGACTGAATAGAGGGGTCAGAATTATCCTTTTCTTTCTCACTTGTTTTTTCCATTAAAGAAAACTGACGTAAATTTTATGCTGCTTCTGTCATTTTATCCGACTCTTGAAACATTATCTAATTTTTCAGAGCAGTATTGCAGAATAATTCATTACAAGACACTCAGTCAAAATAGCAGCTTCTTCACTAGACATGCAAACTGACTGGCTAAAACAAGGTCATAGTACTAAAAACATCCCTATAATTTTCTTTTAACTGGTCAGCTAGATGAGATCTACACTAGAAATTTTTGATGGCATAGCAATGTTGGTTAGGGACATGATTTCATTTGCAACCTTTCTACATTGGTAAAAGCCCCAATTATAAAGACAAAAAAGTCCTTTTTCCAGTGTAGCTTATTTTGCAACAACACACTTTTGCCAGCATACACTGAGTCTACAGTAGGAGTGTTTCCCATTATAGCTGTACTGGTAAACCCTTTCTAATGTAGTCTAGGCCCAGGTATTCCTAAAATGACTGAATAGGGATTTGTGAACCTTAGAGTGAAATTCACCCTTATACCAAAGGCTGGCAAAAGATCTAGACAAGTGCCACTTAAACTATCTTTTGAACCCTATTTTGAAGGCTTAAGTGTGACCTAAATGGTGCATAGCTTTTGTACTGACCCTCTGCAAAGGGGTGAATGTCTTTACTACTTATTAAATAAAGGATTCAACTGCTCTATAAAAGGTAGAGAATTGGCCTCCCTGCACATACAAACAGCATGAACGTAGGAGGCTTGGATCTAAAAGTCAAGTATAATTTTTTTAAATTAGAAAGAGAAAAATATGGTTTTGGTTGAAGCATACAGCGATGCTTATGTTATTTCAAACACTTTCCCCTTTGCAATACAATGAATAAAGGATCTCGGTTAAATCTTTTAAATCTAAAAGCCACTGCATGTGATTCTTGTACAAAGGTTCATTTGTTCACACACCTGTACCCGCACATATGTTCCTTACAGTACATATTCTGTTTATTTGTTTCTAGATGCTTTTGAAATATACCAATAATAAAGTCTGAACTGGTGGTGCAGAGACTAACCTACTACTGCACTCTATTTTAATCCTAGAAACGATGGGCCTAAACCAACAACCCTGAACTTTGCTGCTCAGGCCCATCTCTGGTTCTAACATTAGATTTGTAGCTTTGTATGCATAATTAGACCAAACTAATGGTCAGGTAAGTAATACATATTATTTCAGATACATCAAACAAGTAAAAGACTACTTTCATTTTACTAGTCTCTTTAAATTAGGCTAATAACCTGATTGAGAATTGCATGCATTGTCCTTCGCAATGGATTCAGATATGGTAACATAGCTTATGACTGCGAACAGGGAATCTTAGATTTCTCCAGGGAAGAAAGCAACAGGGCAGACAGTTAAATGTAGTTGCACTGTATGTTTCAGTAAACTAGTACCACACTTAATACTAAAATGCCAGGTATTTTATCTAATAAAAACAAATAATTTAGGGGGCCAAAGTTTCAAAGGATGGTGCACAGAAATTTGCACATGCAACTGTTGCACATTCTAGCCCCTGAAATATTTATATGTAATATTTTCTGTTACAGTGGCAAGCTGTGCTGAAACCCCCAATAGGAAATATGCTGAAGCCAACTTAAAGCCAGAGGAAGGCCTGCCGTTATACGGCTAAATTTTGTTTGGAAAGTTATGCCTATTGATTGTCTTGGCTCTAGGTTCAGCACCAAGAACATGCTAAGCAGACATTTGATGGACAAACAGGAAGACAGCACCTCTATTTCAGAATTTACAATCTAGGTGAAACTCTTTTACTTGTAGTGGGCCCATTTAAGTTGCAAGCATTCTAGTGTTAAAACCAGGCCAGTGAAATAGTCCCAGATACAAACAGAATTGTGGTAAAAGGCTTTGTTACAGTATTAAACATTGTAGTACCTGAGAGCCAGATCCCCTCCCCACAGCAGAGGTGTTAGTGACAGACTGAGCAGAGGACAGATTGGATGAGACAGGGCTTTTGTAATGGTTAGAAGAGAGTTTGTCAGTAGATAACCTATTGGCTTTTCTGTCAGCAGGTGGATAGCGTGCAAAGATTTTCGGAGACGGCAAGTTATCGTACAGGCCTGCGTTATCATAAAGCACTTCTTCTCCCATGTTTCTGCTACGAGAAGTAGGAAAGCCATCTTCAAGTTCCCACTGCAACACATACACTTTTGCTGTTAGTAAACAAAACATCATGCAGAACCTATGCAAAATTAAAGCATAAGCAGGTTATTTAGAATCATTAAAACCGTTTGAGTTTAGCAAGATTTTCCTGACATTTGAGCCAAACCGGTCTAGAAAGACATGGGTAGCTATGGCATGTTCGGATGACTGGGGAAAAGAGAGGATTGTGTTACCTATTTCATAACCTGAATTTTCTTGTGTTTTCTGTTAAGCAGAGAAAAGGGGACTGTGATGTTACGCCTTATACTATTACTTGATTATTATTATTACTTTCCATTTAGTAATTCTGAGAAAGAAGATGCTACAGTGCAGATGTTGATAATTACTTCCTTGTATAAGATAGGACAATAGTGGGGTACTCCTGGGTAACGTAGATGAATCTTCAGGAAAATCTCTAGGCCATATTTTGCTAAATCTGGCTTGGTAGTACAGATTTTCAGACCTGGCAACTATCAAAAGCTGTGAGGTTTTTCTTGAGGCCATGTGTCTTTTCAGGAACTATCAGCTGCTTGTGCACTAGCATTGTATTTTATTTGTTGGAAAAGCATTACTTAGCTAAATAAATATCTAAAATAGCTCCAAGCCATTTCCTCTTTCCATAAAAATGGAAAACTCAATAACACTCACCCAGTGATTCATTCATTTCATCTTAAAAGAAGCCGTGGGTCTGCGTGCCCAAGATCCTTCCTTAATCCACCCTGTCTGCATGAGTGCCCTCCTCAGATACAGTCCCAAGCACACCCAAGAACTACACATGCATCCCACTCACCAAACACTTCGGTGTATCCTACTCTGATATGTCATGACATGAGAGAGGATTGCACTTGTTTGTGACAGCTTATGCCTTGAATTTCTGTACATTTCTCTCAATTTTCAGACTAAGATCTCAAATCTGCCTTTAAGACAACGCCCAAATTAGGAACTATGCTGAGCTGCAGCACCCCCAAACAAATGTTTAGAGACCACGTGCCACTGTGTGCAAATATGCACTCCCTTCCCCCCCCCCCCACACTCCTACACAGGACCAGCTCTGCAGGCTAATTCAGAGGGTGGGGTGGGATCACGGCCTTGCCCTCAGCCTGCTCTCTTTGGGATGAATAGCACAACTGTCAGTGGAAGCCCCGCCTTGGAGATGGATAGCCCCACTGTCAGCTGTTCCCTGGGTAGTACCATATTCCTGCAGGGGAGCACAGAGTGAGGTCTGACGGCTTGTTGCACTTTCTTCACAACTTACAACACCCAACACAGGGCCTGGCACAATCAAGCCCTGAGTTTTGCCTTGGTCTAATGAATGTTTCTTTTAAATTCAAGGATTTTATTAATGGATTTGGCACAAACTGATCAACAGGCAGCTGTTTGTATAAATATATGCTGGCTCATGAACAAGTTAATTTAAACAATATGTCCCACTCCCCCAAAAGTCTCCAGATGAGGGAGAGGTTTTGTGGTTCCTGATTATAAAGAGTAGAAAAGTTGAGTTCATTTGGAATCTGCCCAATGGCGCTCAATGAGGTAATACAGTTTTCAGGTGTCCTTGTGTTCAACACATATAAGCCATTTGCACTGTAAAAATTAAATTCTTACCGATCCATTTATGCAGGGAACATCATCATAATGAAGTGCCATTCCACTGGGACATGCGTAGCCATTGGCAGTGCTTCCCCGATATGGATTAGTAGATATAACACGTCTGTTCATAAAACTATGTAAAACAAAAAACACCACTTGATGCTTAGTCTTCATGATGATTCAATAGTGCTACACCCACATTTGATTATCTGCCTGTTCTGGAAGCACATAGCTTTTCTCTTTGTATTAAAGCTATAGATAGTTTTCCTCCTTCTGCAACCTCCATGAAAGAAAAATAAAGCTCTGTATTTTACTCAGATCTGGCTGCTAACATCCAATATCGCAACATACGTTTCTGTACCATAATCATAAGAGAAAGTGTAGGACTGTGTGAAAGCCAGGATGGAAACAGCTGTAGCTGTTCTATCGTGTTACATGTGAATCTGCTGATATAAACCAATTTGCCAGACCTCAATAAAAATTTCCGCCTTGTCTATATAGGATAGAATGAGGAAGGTGTGCATGCACATTGAGGGGGAAGGAGGAGGAGGGGAAGTGACCCAAGACTTTACTACAATCATTTTAGGAACTGGAGCAAACCAAGGTCCAAATCCTGCAAAATGCTGTGTGTGTGGAACCGTGAGCTGATCAAAATTTTTCAAATTATTTTTTCTTCCGGCAAAAAACAGCATATATTTGAAAACCAACATTTTCGTGACAACTTTTAGGTTCCAATCCCTTTTTTCAGTTATATGAAAACTTTTCTTAGACTCTTTTGAAATGGTTTGTGCATGTTTTCAAATTATTTTTATTTTTGGTTTGCTGCTGTGTAACTTTTGACTGGGGACCGATTGTGACATGTTGTCATGTTCTCCGGACTCCTTGCCTGGATGAGCGTGCGCTCCAGCTGTCTCTCACACAGGCAAGTGAAAACTCTGAAATTGAAACATTTTTTTATAGTTTTGAATGGTTTTAATTTTAAAAAAAGGAACAATTTTGATCCAGCTCTTGTGGGATCCTGACTGACTTCAGTGAGGCTCCTTGTGGTAACAAAGGTCTATCCATGTGGAGCAACTTGCAGATTTGGGCCCCAAGTAGCAATAAATAAGAGTTACCTACCTTTCGTAACTGTTGTTCTTCGAGCTGTGTTGCTCATGTCCATTCCATTCTAGGTGTGTGCGCGCCCACGTGCATAGTTGTTGGAGCCTCAGCGGTATCCATAGGGTTGACTGTGGCACCCCTTTGACTGCCGCGCTCATGCAGCGGAATATCAGGCGCCACCACCCTATGCCCTCTCGGTTCCTTCTTGCTGGCAACTCCGACAGAGGGGAAGGAAGGCGGGTAATGGAATGGACATGAGCAACACATCTTGAAAAACAACAGTTACAAAAGGTAGGTAACCGCTTTTTCTTCTTCGAGTGCTTGCTCATGTCGATTCCATTCTAGGTGACTCACAAGCAGTATCCCTGGAGGTGGGCTGGAAGTTTACAGATGTGCGGCTTGTAATACCGCTCTACTGAAGCCCGTTGTCTCGGGCTTGGTGGGTAAGCGCAGAGTGAGACATGAACATATGAATGGATGACCAGGTGGTGGCCCTGCAGATATCAGGAATTGACACATGGGCCAGGAAGGGCACCGCCGAAGCTTGCGCTCTAGTTGAGTGGGCGTTTACAATCGCTGGTGAAGGCACCTTCGCCTGATCATAGCAAAAACGGATGCAGGCAGTGATCCAAGATGAGATTCTCTGGGTGGATACTGGACAACCTTTCATCCTATCTGCCACTGTGATGAACAACTGCGTCAACTTGCAAAATGGCTCGGTCCTCTCAATGTAGAAGGCTAGCGCTCTCCTGACGTCCAGGGAGTGCAACCTACGCTCCTCCTCAGACTTATGAGGCTTTGGGAAGAGACTGACAAAAATATGTCCCGGCTTGTGTGAAATTGCAAAACCACCTTGGGCAGGAAAGCCGGATGCAGCCGCAGCTGGACCTTGTCCTTTAAGAAAACTTCATAGGGCAGCTCTGAGGTAAGTGCCCTAATCTCGGAGACACTGCGGGCAGAAGTTATCACCACCAGGAATGACACCTTCCAGGAGAGCAGAAGAAGGGAACAGGACACCAAGGGCTTGAAGCAAGCTTTCATGAGCCGCGCGAGCACCAGATTCAGATCCCACGGAGGGACTGGGTCCCAGACCTGGGGTTAGAGTCACTCTAGACCTTTCAAGAACCGGACTGTCATGTTATAAGTGAAGACCAACCTGCCCTGGGAAGAGGATGAAAGGCTGATATGGTGGCCAAGTGGATCTTAATTGATGAAAGGGACAAGCCTTGGAGCTTGAGATGCATAAGGTACTCCAGGATGGACTGCAGGCCTGCTTGGGCCTAACCCCTTGGGCCGAGGCCCAACACGAGAATCGTCTCTATTTGGCCTGGTAGGTCTCTCTAGTGGAGAGCTTTCTACTAACCAGTGGGACCTGCAGGACACAGGCTGAGCACTCCTGCTCGTCAGCAGTTAACCATGCAGCAACCAAGCTGTTAGGTGCAGCACTGCCAGATTCGGGTGCACGAGCCTGCTGTGATTCTGGGACAGGAGATCCAGTCAGAGGGGCAGCTGCATCGGGGTCGTCACCGACAGGTCCATTAGCGTGCTGAACCAGTGTTGGTGTGGCCAAGCCGGGGCTATCAGTATAACTTTGGCCTTGTCCTGCTTGATCTTCATGAGGACTCTGTGAAGCAATGGCATTGGTGGGAAAGCATACAGAGCCTCCGACCATGGAAGTAGGAAGGTGTCCGACAAGGAGTCCCTGTCGACCCTCTGAAACGAGCAAACAGGTGACATTTCCTGTTCTGGTGAGTCGCGAACAAGTCCACCTGGGGAGATCCCCACTTTCGGAAGATCCCATTGACCACCTCGGGGTGGAGTGACCATTCATGACGAGATGAGAAGGCTCTGCTGAGGCGATCTGGCAATACGTTCCTGGTTCAGGGAGGTGCGCTGCCATGAGATGAGTGGCATGCTGCACACAGAAGTCCCAGAGCTGGAGGGCTTCCTGGCAGAGGGCTGATGACCTGGCTCTGCCCTGCTTGTTGATATAAAACATCGTGGTGGTGTTGTCTGTCAGGACTTGAATGACTTTGCTTTGTAAGTGGGACCGAAAAGCCTTACAGGCCAGGCAAACCACCCTGAGATCCCTGACATTTATGTGGAGGAAGTGGCTGACCCCCCGACCAGCAGCCTGGTATACTGAGCTCGCCCAGGTGGGCTCCCCAGCCCAGGTCTGAGGTGTTGGAAACCAGAGTTAGTGTCTGATTGCTCCGCCATCTCTTCTGCCTCTAGGCCTAAGTTAGTGGCTACCCTTTGGATCAGGGCTTGGTGCTCCTTAAAGTCATCTGGTGGGCTAGCACAGGAGGGCCCCACCACAGCCTCGTCTGGAGAGGAGGAGGAAGAAGAAGGAACCGCTGGAGGGCGGGGGGCCCAGGGCATCATCCCCCGCAGGGGAAAGGGGGTCTCAGGGTGGGCACCTGTCCCTCCACCTCAGCGTCTACTAGCGCTTTGTGCACTAAGCCCAGTGCCAATTGGAACTTGTCCAATGTGTCGACTGACGATTGGTGAGATGGTGACATCGGCATAACCGGCATGCCCCAGGCATTCCAATAAGGCCATTGTCCTGGCAGCAGGGCCAGAGCAGCATTGCTGAGGTGGATGCAACCTCAGGAACCCACTCGCAACGGTGCTGTCTCGGTGAGGGGCTGAATTCCCTCTCTGTGCTCGAGGAATCCTCCTCCGGTGACCAGGACCTGAGTCTGGCAGCTAACCGTCGCCGTGGGTGACCAGTGCCTCAAGTACACAGACCGGTGCAGGGAGTAGTGGGAGCGGCACGGTGTTGGGGAGCATCCGCGTGGTCTAGGTGACGGTGATCGCCGGTGTGGAGAGGGTCAGCGCGAAGCTGACCACTGCCAACTATATAGCGACCGGACCTTCCCTCTGGGTGAGTCTCGACATGAAGCTGGAGACTGGGAGCGCAGTGTCGGCCATCTGTGGCAGCAAACTGGTGAAGTGGGCTGATGCAGAGACCAGGGGCGTGGCGACAAAGGGCTCTGCCTCGGCTCCGGAGATCAGCGGCATTCACTTGCCTTCTGGGAGGTTTCCATGGCTGTCTTGCCCTCGTAGGGAGCCTTTGCTGGGTCCATCACGGCACGCGGTGCTGGCTACAGTGGGAAGAGTCCTTTGCTCTCTGGGCACCAGGACCTGGGAAGGTGTTGACTCTGCCATCAGTCCGGGTCCCCTACTGCTCCCTGGAGTCAGATCCCTTAGGGGGGTAGGAGGTCCCCTCGGGGACATGCTCCCTTGCGCCTCCGGTGTGGGCAGGTGGCCCAAACAGGGTCCTTTACCCAATGCCCCTTGGTCCGTCTTGCTTGGTGCTGGGTCCCGCTTCTTAGACATCATGGGCACCAGCGAAGGGGATCAGTGCCGGGCAGAGCCCAGTGCCGGAGGTGCTCTATGCACCGAAGCCAAAATGCTGGGCGTTGCATGCGACTGGGTCGGCTCCGAGGCTGGGCGAAGAGCAGTCTCCAGGAGGAGGGCCCTCAAATGATTGTTGTGCTCTTTTTGTGTCCTAGGACAAAAGTTCTTACAGATGCGACACTTTCCTTTAACCTGCGATTCCCGCAGGCACTTCAGACAGCTGCCATGTGAGTCACTAACAGGCATAGGGCTATTACAGTCAGCGCAGGGCTTAAAACCCAGTGACCGGGGCATGCCCCGCCGGGGGCAAAGTCCCCGCCAGGGCCGTAACTGACTAACTACCGTACTTAACAGCTACTTACTAACTAATCTACAATAAACAAAACTATTTACAGCCCGAACACGAAGTCAAAAGGGAAAGAACCGCTGATCGCTTGTGAGGCAAGGGAGCGAGGCGCTCCGAGCAACCACCACAGCTGTAGGAGGAAGGAACTGAGCGGACGTAGGGCAGGCGGCGCCTGATATACCAACGCATGAGCGCGGCACTCAAGGGGGTGCCACAGCCAACCCTACGGATACCGCTAAGGGAAAAGTCTCTGACAACTGTGCACCTGGGTGCGCACACAAATAAAATGGAATCGACATGAGCAAGCACTCGAAGAAGAACTATGATTCAGAGAGGAAGTTGCTTTCACAAACAGCCCTTGAAACAGAGCTAGTAACACGAGACCCCAAAGATCCTTAAGATTCAAGTACATAAAAAGAGATAAGAAGGAAAACAAAGATTCGCAACAGAACTATTCAATTTCTGAAGTTGACATTAATAAATTACAATAAAATCATGCCGTAAGGTAGATGGGTCTTTTGTTTCTCCATAGGGGTCATAAATAATGTGGGAAAAGCCTGCCAAACATGTTATATTTTATTCCAATTGTGTAGAATGAGGAACAATGTTTTCTGCAGATAGATTTTAATAATATTAACTAATCATTGTCAGCATTTAGAGCCTGGTAAGGTACTAAGTATTCTCAACTCCCACTTAATTCAACAGGAAGTTGAAAGCCTTCAATACATTTCAGGATCTGATCCTCAGGAGAATGAACATACTGCAAATGTCACATCAAACTGTAAAATAACTGAGAAAATAACTAGTGCCATACTGTATGTTTTGAAGTATTACACTGCTCACAGTCCTTGATTATAATCAGAAGCTATTACACATTGCTTTTGAAAATATAAACCTGGTATCTCTCTATAAATCAAATGCCAGATTAGAGAATTAATGTGCACAATCTGGCCGAGGTCCTGATCCAGCAAAAACTTAAGTAATTGAGCAGTTTTATAAAGAGGAATAGTCCAATCGAACTCCATGTGTGTAGTTACTGGCATGTGTAAGTATTTACAGAATCAGGTCTTGCCTTTGTAAGTAGTTTTCCACTGTCATCTGACTTTAGACACTCCCCCCCGCCGATGAATCCTTCAACCTGAACTTTATCATGTCTTCTTCCACAGGAGCATTTTAAAAAAATATATTAGGATTAACTGGACAAGATGATCATGAGATGAGAGTTTGCAGGGGGAAAAAAAATCGTAATTCACCGTTGTAAAAATGCTCCTACCTGTATCATAGCTCTAAAAACAAAAGTGTTGTCAAGAAACTCCAACATTTTTTTCTGCTGTCCTTAATGAGAAACACTACCCAAATATTTCCGGACTATATTTAGAAATATAGCAGCCCCTGCCCCAAATATGGTACTATCTAAGTATAAGACAAGAAGGGACGGGGGGAGTGCAAGGAAACAATGATGATGCTAGTCAAACATGATAGGCAGTGGTCTCAACACACCAGCAGTCTAACTGTTGTCAAATGTATTGTAGGCATCACAGCAAAAGAGAGTTTTGAAGGTAACTTTATGGATGTTTATGGGGAGCTCCTCCCAAGCATGAGGGGCAGCATGGGATAAAGCAGAAAGGTACTTGTTTGAAAATGTAACAAGTGACAGAGTCTGGCATCATGGGTCGACTGGAGGCGAGAGTTGACATCTTGATAGCAAAGGAGAGATGATAGGCAGGATTGGATAGGTCACAAAGAGCCTGGAAAGTGAAGACACACAGCTTATGTTTGATGTGATAGAGAAGGGGGGAAAACAGTGGAGGGATGCAAAGAGGGGGGTGACATGATCAAATGGGCCCCGGTCCACGACTGGGGCTCCCAGGTGCTATGATAATACAAAACAAAAACAATGATAGGGTAGAAAAGTGATCTTTGCAGGAGCATTCTGAATGGATATGAATGAGGCAAGACTGCATTACTTGAGGCTAGAGAGAAAGATGTTGTAGTAACTGAGATGCGAGAGTTTTTGCTGTGTGGATGGATAAGAAAGGCCATGTCATTTCTCATTTCCCCTTCTAATTTTACAAGAATAATTGGATCAGAAGTTAAAAGAGACATGCCCTAGGTTGCTTGCAGATAAGCTCTTACATTCACTTTATTGTGGTACGACAAATTTAAACAAATACTTGATAGGGAATTTTTATGACTTTGCAAGTTAGGTTTGGCATTCCTTTCTAATATGTGGTCGAGTTGCACTTATTTTTTTCACTTGGTTTCAATTAATATCACATTTGTTCATAAAATGAAAGCCAAGAAGTATTCAGGCAAAAACATTTCCATCCGGCTTCTCTCTTACATGTGGTTATCACTGGATGCTGATGGAAGTGAAAAATGCGTGTCACAGGAAAAGCTTTTTTGAGCCCTATTAACTTCAAAACATATATAAGCACAAGCGTCTAAATTAACTGCATTATGACTCTATCAAAATTACTTGGATTTGACAAAAATAGGATTGTGGTAAGAGATGAATCAACCCTGATTTCTATCAAAAGCCATTCAAACTAGAGCATGAATGAAGTATCTCATTCTTCCGCACTGCAGCCCTCCTGACCCTTCACTGGTGAGAGTACAGTTTTTCCAACAGAAAGCTAGACTAGGTTTTCACCCTTTATGTATTTTTAGTCTATTCCTATTTATGATGGCTATATTGAGCTTGACTCTACAAAGTGCTGAATCCCGGTAATTTCAATGGGAGTTGAGGGCACTCAGCACCTTGCAGGATCATGTTTATAAAGTCCTAGTAAACCGTCTGGCCAAGATATCTTCTATCCACACTTTGCTGTCATGAGGCATATACTAACAAAATCTGCATTGTGTATCGAATTCATGTATTGGTGTGAATTTCACAACCGTGAGTTTTTAATCTTCAGCAAGGAACAACTGGATGTAGTGGGTCTATGAGAAAGACAAGGTGGGTCTTTTATTGGACCAAATTCTGTTGGTGAAGGAAACAAGCTTTTGAGCTACACAGAGCTCTTCTTCAGGTCTGGGAAAGGTAATCAGAGTACCACAGCTAAATACAAGGTGGGAGAGATTGTAGAATCATAGCACTGGGAGGGACCTCGAGAGGTCATCTAGTCCAGTCCCCTGCACTCATGGCAGGACTTAGTATTATCTAGACAAGAGGTTCTCAAACTGTGGTCCGTGAGCTCCATTCAGGTGGTCCGCAGATAGTTCCATCTAAGATGTGCGCCTGGGCAGCCACACACGAGAGAATGAAGGGCCACCCACCTAATTAGTGGAGCCATGCAGGTGTGGCTCCACTAATTAGGTGCCTGGACCCTGGAGAAGACACACATGTAAGGTGAGGTGGTGGCCTTGGGGGGGATAGGGGGTAGGTGGGAGGGGGCAGTGGGGTGAGAAGAGGGGGTGGGGGGAATATGGGACGTGCAGGGCTTCAGCGGCCAGAGAACGAGGTGACTTTCCACAGCTCCAGGGTTGTGGCTGCCGGGGAGAGACGGCCCTCCTTCCCAGCCCCAACTCAGAAGCTGCTGTGGCGGGGGAGAGACCCCCTCCTTCCCAGCCCCAGCTCAGGGGCTGCTGTGGCGGGGGAGAGAGGGCACATCCATCGCATTAGAAAGGTAAGACTACTGATATTAAAATGTGAGTTATGTGCTTTTATTTGTAGAACAAAAAAACGTTAATTATTATTAAGGGTTTTTTTTTTAATATATCGCTTTTATCCAAAGCGCTTCACAATAGTTAGCTAATGGTACAAACAACATTTGGAAAAAAGAACAAGGAGTACTTGTGGCACCTTAGAGACTAAATTTATTTAGGCATAAGCTTTCGTGGGCTAAAACCCACTTCATCAGATGTATGCAATGGAAAATATAGTAGGAAGATATATATACACAAAGAACATGAAAAAATGGGTGTTGCCATACCAACTCTAATGAGACTAATCAATTAAGGTGGGCTATTATCAGCAGGAGAAAAAAAAACATTTGTAGTGATAATCAGGATGGCCCATTTCAAATACTGTGAAACATTTGGAAAGATCATTAAGTGGTCCGCTGAGACCCTCAGCAATTTTCAAGTGGTCCGCGAAAAAAAAAGTTTTAAGAACCACTGATCTCTAGACCATCCCTGCCGGGTGTTTGTCTAACCTGCTCTTAAAAATCTCCAGTGATGGAGATTCCACAATCTCTCTGGGCAATTTATAACAGTGCTTAACCACCCTGACCAGTTAGTTTAAGGGTAAACACATGTTGCAAGAGACCATTTAAGGTGAAGTGGGCAATTCACACCTCTGCAGTCACAGGACAAAGGAGGGTTAGTGGGTTACAGGTTGTTGTAATGACACATAAGACCAGTATTTCTGCTGAGTACTGAGGGCTAAACCAATTCTGTGAATTTACATTAGTTCTGTTAAAACTTGGAAAGTGAAAATAACCAGCGTAAACTATTGTGACTGAATTGTGGCCAAGCTTCAACTTATTTGATCATTTAAAGCTTTAGGGCTGCCAGAAAGAAGGGGTTAAAATAGCACCTAATTACTAGATTCCTCTTACACTATAAGTGTGAGAGTTGAATACATCATAAAAGTGGACATATTCTGCCTCTTTTGTAATACTTAGCCGGATGCCAGCAAGATAATCTTAAACACATCTCGAATGCTTAAGAGACTCAAGATTTCAATCCCTCAAGAGTTTAATATCTTGGCAAAAAAGGGAAGGTTTGATAAGGTCTCTTGATATTAGAACTAACATAAGGCTGCAAATTCTGAAATTACTGAAAACGCCCTTAAATTGCTTTTAATGCATCTTACCAGAAGGTCTGTTTTGCAGCTTGTATGACGCTTGCAGTCATCTCCACATCAATATAATCATAGTGCAGGGCTCCAGGATCTGTAGATGAACCGGTTTCAGCCAGTAAAATCCCAATCCATCTGCCCATGTCTTCAGATGATGAAGCCTATGATGATGAGAAGATCTTATATAAACTCACAAATTATTACTGAAACAACAGGCTTTTTAATATTAATTACTTCATAATTATGCTTTTATTTTACTAACACGTTAATATAATGATGCACGTGAGGCTCTGGATCACCTTTGCCAAACTATGCTAACAAAAAGTAATATTCACTGAGGTTATTCTGCCATAATGAACACATTTAAAGCAACATGTTAATAGATTACGGAGTAAAGCAATACGAACAGTTCCAGCAAAAGAAGGAAAACAAATGCATGAAGCCAGTGTATCTAGGTATGCACCTTGCTTATTTTAGATTTCAGAAAGCTGAGACAAATGTTTTCTACTACAAGGCTAAGCTTTTAAGAAAGGTAACTTGTCCAAATTGTAAAGGCAGGATAACCTTGGACAAAGAAATACTAAAGCAGGTTGAAAAATGGGGGGGAGGGACACATTAAAATTGTGGAAATCATTCTAGTTTTTGAAACTGAATGATTTTCAGTTTTTGAAAAATGTCATGCAATTTTATAGGCATTTTAATATTTATTTACTTTAAGTTTCTTTACTCAATGTAACAGATTCAAAGATTTTTTCCTTTATCTCATTTCCTTACTGTAGTTCCTCTTCTTTATATTACACTTCATTCATTTCCTGTTCTTGTAAATCGTCATCCAAATAACCTGTACTGGGCATATGTAGCATGACCCTTCTTCAAGGACAAGACACTGATCTGATCTGCACTTAAGAAAACCTGAGTGTTCAAAGTATCTGACCAGAGTCTGAAAATGGAAGTTTGCCTCCCACTAGTTTCCTTACAAATGCCACTACATGTTACCTTTATCTAAGGTTTCCAATTTTAACCAATAAAAAGTCAATAGAGCTACCCTGGAGCCATTTTTCATAGTTCAAGTTTGTTTTTAAATAAGCACTGAAAAGAACTTATTTTAGCTCATTTGAAATGTCCTATGCTGTTTTATTCTGATTTTTTTTTGGGGGGGGGGGGGCTGTTCCTACCCTTGGATTTGTTGCAAAGATATTAAATAATACAACGATGGAACTCTTTAGTGTAGTTTTCCATTTTACAGCTATTCCCTGTGTTAGGCAAGAGTGCATTCTCTCAAATTGGCTCAGTGGTTGTCAGTAGCTGTCTTCTCTTGGTCTTTGGACTCACAGAATCCAAGTCTAGAAGGGACCACTGTGGTCATCTAGTCTGACCCTCTATATAACACAGGCAACACAACTTCCCCAAAATAACTCCTACAGCATGTCTTTTAGAAAAACATCCAATCTTGATTTAAATATTGTCAGTGATGGAGAATCCACCATGACCCATGGCAAGTTGTTCCAATGGGGATAATTACCCACACCGCTAAAAAATTATGTCTTATTTCTTGTCTGAATTTGTCTTGCTTCAACTTCCAGCCATTGGATCATGTTACACCTTTCTCTGCTAGTCTGAAAAGCCATGATTAAATCTTTGTTCCCCATGGAGTACTTATGGACTGTAATCAAGTCACCCCTTAACCTTCTCCTTGTTAAGCTAAGTAGATTGAGCTCTCTGAGTCAATTACTATAAGGCATCTTTTCTAACCCTTTAATCATTCTCGTGGCTCTTCTCTGAACACTCTCCAATTTATCACCATCCTTCTTGAACTGTGGACACCAGAACTCGACGCAGAATTCCAGCAGTGATCACACTAGTGTCAAATGCCAAGGTAAAATAACCTCTCTACTCCTACTTGAGATTCCCGTCAACGCATCCAAGGATTGCATAAGCCCTTTTGGCCAAAGCATCACGCTGAGGGCTCATGTTCAGATGATTAACCAAAAGAACCCCCAAATCTTTTTCAGAGTTACTGCTTCCCAAGATAGACTCCCCCATCTTGTAACTATGACCTACATCCTTTGTTCCTTTAGCCATATTCAAAGTGCATATTGTTTGCTTGCGCCCAGCTCACCAAGTGATCCAGATCACTCTGTATCAGTGATCTGTCCTCTTCATTATTTACCACTCCACTAAATATTTTTTGTTATCTGTAAACTTTATCAGCGATGACTTCATGTTTTCTTCTAGCTCATTAATAAAAATGTTAAAAAGTATAGGGGCAAGAACCTATCTGTGCAGGACCGCTCTAAAAACACATTCATTCAATGATGAATCCCTGTTTACATTTTGAGACCAATCAGTTAACCAGGTTTGAATCCTTTTAATGTGTGCTATATTAATTTTATATCTTTCTAGTTTTTTTAATCAAAATGTCATGTATCTTACAGAAGTCTAAGTATATTACAACACTACTACCTTTATCAACCAAACTTTTAATCTCATCAAAAAAAGATATCAAGTTAGTTTGACAGGATCCATTTTCCATAAACTCATGTTGAATGGCATTAATTACCCTCCATTAATCACCCTTGTAATTCTTTATTAATAGAGTCCCGTATAAGAACTCCATTATCTTACCCAGGATTGAGGTCAGACAGACAAACCTAAAATTACCCAGGTCACCATGTTTACCCCTTTTTAAAAATTGGCACATTAGCTTTTTTCCAGGCTTCTGGAACTTCCCCAGTGCCCCAAGAGTTATAGATAATCAACATTAATGGTCTAGCGAGTTCCTTAGCCAAATCTTTTAAAACTCTTGGAGGCAAGTTATCCAGACCTGCTGATTTAAAAATGTCTAACTTTAGTAGCTGCTATTTAACATCCTCCTGAGAGGACTAAATGAATGAATGTGTCCCTTCCTCCCCCCAGTACAGAATAGAAATATTTATTGAACACTTCTGCTTTTTCTGCATTATTATGACCTTCTTCCTCAGTTGAAGCTTTTTGGGCCTCTTGTTAAATATTCTTAAACAATTCCCAATTATCATTTACATTTCTCTGATTAATTTCTTCTTCCCAGCTGATCTGGCCTTTAATTGTTTTCAGCTTTGTGAAACTGGTCCTTTTAACGCACCAAGTACATCACTGGTCTAGACTTCATTCTGTTTGCACATTACAAATGTGATCAAGTGTTGATCACTTTTACTTACGTTGCCACAAATTTTTAGTTCCTCTTTATCTGTCAAGATGAGGTGTGATATAGAATTCCCCAGGTTGGATGCAACACTTTTTAAGTTAGAAAATTGTCATCTATAGTATTTAGTAGTTTCAAGGATGTTTTAATACAGGCAGCATAAGACCTCCAGCATACATCACTCAAATTAAAGCCCCCAATGATTACATAGGTTTTTTTCCTTATGTTATGATAGGTGCATAAGGAGGCAGTCATCCTGTTCTCTAGTGTGATTTGGTGGTCTGTGGCAGACACCAACTAATACCCCATCTTGTGTTTTAGCTGTTAGGACACTGATCATTAAGCATTCAAGATAATTTTTTTTGGAATTATCAGTGACTTGGAAACAGATAATGCCATTTTTGGCCTAGAGTGCCCCTTCCCCTCCCCTATTGCCCCATTGAATCTTCCTTAACAGGTTATAACCCTTGATTTAACATCCCAGTCATGAGAATCTTCCCACCAGGTTTCAGTAATACCAACTTGATCAAATTTATGCTCATAAATGAACAATTCCAATTCCTCTTGGTTGTTACCCAGCCTCCTAGCATTGATGTATAGGCCATTAAAGAATTTCTTCTCTTCATGTCCTTTGAATCCTCAACTAATTTTGTTCTCAACATCGCGATTTTGTCTTCCATCTTTTTAACCTCCCAGAGACCCTAGCAAGTTCTTGGGTAACCCCTGGTCCAGTTCCTTAGCCCTGTGGTCTGCATCTTGCTCTTCCACCTCATCATCCTGCTACTCAGCTGCAAGACAGGGAGCTTCTGTACTCTCCAGCATCACATTAGACTCCAGGGAAGGATGGGTACCAAGTACTCTGTTCGGCTCCTTAGAAAAATGGACAGGTTTTTCTTCTTGCCTGGTTGGTATTATTAAGGATCTCAATCTTTTGCTACCATTGCCTGCCAGACAAATAACTCCTTCCTCAGCAAGGTGCTCGGACACCTGGTTGTCCCAGAGGTCAGCAACACCTGCCCATCTGCCTGAGACATGCATATTTCCATGGAAGGATGCTTCGCTCACTGCGGGACGGTGGTTTGGAAGAAGTTGATGCTCATAAAATAAATGCACCTCTATAAGCTTTATAGTGCAGGCAGTACTATTGAGACAGGTAACTTTCTTCTGGCAAATCTGACCCATGTGCAGCAGAATGCAGACTAGAGAGGACACTACTATGGGAGAGCAGCATTAAGGCTATTTGCAATGCGGGAGCTATTATGCTAGCTTTTTCCATCCAATGCTGGAAGAGTACACAGTGCTTAGCCTTGCTCGAAACAAGTCTAATGTAAATGATGGTATAATGGCCTGTGTACAACTGGGAGTGTTTCATTGTTTACATGTGTGGTGTGCATGGTAGGAGGCCCAACTTGTGGCTAGGAACCAAATTTCTCTAGTACAGATACACCCCTGACGATGACTTCAGAATAACAAATCTTAAAGTTGATTAATATGCCCAGGAGAAATATAGATCCAGAGCTCTAATCTTCAGTGTAGTGAGCCACAGCAATGTTACTTAATTAGCGCTCAGTCATCTGCATTCTGAGTTACCTCCTTGATAGAAGACTCTAACAAGGGAGGTGCATAAGCACTTATAAAGGGAAGAGAAAAGGTCAGAGTGGAGAGAGAGACAGCAGAAAACATCTTAACAGGGAAGACTGTTGTGAGTTAAAAATCAACAATATTAGGGTTTTCCCCTTACATCAATTCTCATCCAGATAAGTCTCTTTTGCCTGTAACTCTTAATTTGTTTCTTTCTGTAATGTTTGTTACCCAGCTCTGTAACTGTATTATTTAACCGTGGAAAGCATTTTGAAAGGCAGGTTGCATGAACGAGCGGTCACCTAATTAGCCCATGTGCATCTCTGCAAAGTATGCACATCAATAAACATCGCACCTCTAACACTGCGACCTCCTGCCCATTTCGAAGCAGACGGAATGTCAAGGGATGCTTGGAATCCAAGCCTGGAATGACTTCACAGCCACGCAGAGGAATAGAAACAATGTGGGTCTTCAGATCTGTTCTGTCCTTATGGAAAATGAGCTTATTATCTTTCACTCTGCACCAGCGTTCACGCCACCGGTTATTTGAGAGCACATTCAGATATCCTGCAATAAAACAAAATACGAGATATTTTATCCTTCACTTATTTTAAAAAAGAAACTGCTTTTTCAATGTAATGCTAGTTCGTATAAAATTTATTCCTGTATGTGCAGATTGAAAATCCAGATGATTTTAGGAAGACAAATAAATGGCCTTTTAAATTTTTTTTATTGAAACTCTCACTGCACCAGTAACTCAGAAAGCATGGCTTATAAAGATTTCATTCTGGTCATATTCCGAACATATGCAAATGACTGTGCTGAGTTAGTGGCAGTTATGGCTGAATATTCCAGAGCTCCTCTGCCACAGGGTTTCCCCGAGATTTTAGTAAAAATGGAGGTGGGAGTGCGGGTGTGGGAGTCAAGAGGTGTTCCCACTGTGAACCCCAAAGTAGGAGGATGTTTAAAAACACTATTTAAAAGGTTTCAGTATATCCTAGACTACACTAGAAACATAACCTGCTCGTGTGAGAGTTACATGCACAGCTGATTTGTGCCCACACAGCTTTTTCACAACTGAACTGTATTCTACAGTTCTATGGATACATCCAGATCTATCACTGCTAATTGTGTTTTCATAGTGCTTACTGGGAAAATAGTGACAGCTAACCCATGATGACTCAACAAGGAACAAGGGGACTAATGGACATGCACATAAAACAGCACCAGCAGCACATGGGACTAAGCACTCAAAAGACATCCCACTGCTTAGAGAGTTGGAAGGAAGCAAGATCAGCAAAAGTGGTTACACAGGCATGATTACGAGGTCCCAGCTGCACAGCAAAATATGAATGTTATGACCTGGCTGCAGGAAAACAACCGTATGCAACCTAAGCTGCTGACGAGGGCAAAACACCATTACAGGGCCATAGTTACCATGTGTTATTAATTATGTTTCTTGTGTGCAAGATGTGTAGAACCAACCATGCCATTAACTGGTTACAAACCCAGTGAAAAGTTGTATGTATACAGACGGTAAGTTAAATATAGTGGTGGAGTTTCAGGGAACTATGTGTAAAGGGGGTTGGAAAATGACACATTGTGGGGCTGCAGGGCACTAGGAGAAAACCCTGTGCTACTGTGAGATGATCAGAGAGTGAGCTTGTGTCAATATTGTCTGAAAACAATTCCATAAAGACCCATTAAACTGGATTCATTTGGCAATTCATTCTACTTAGCTAGAATAGCTAAACCAGAGTGATCAGTTTTACTTGTTGCTCATCGTATTTAATTGTGTGTAAAACATCCACTTCTGCCGTTCTTTGAGTTCACTGCATGGAAATTTTAAAGCAGAATCAAAAAATCTCCACTGGGATTTCACTGAAATTAAAATAAGTAACTTAAAAACTAAACAAAACAAAAAAACCCCAAGAACACCTTCATATTAGGTTTAGTTAAACCACTAGTTTATATTGGAAGAGAAAAGGACCTTTGAACTTGGCTCCCAATCACATATGGTGCATGAATTATAGACAGTATATTTCCACTTCCAAAGAGTGTATTAAAAGAGGAAAGGATTGAATGACATCTTCTTCAGGGCAGAATTTATATGAAATGACTCATCTTTTACCTCATTGCCGATTTTCATTTTCAGTCACAAGGAGGAAAGCTCTTAATCATTCCGGATAGCTATCTTTTTGGTTTTCATTAAAATTATGTGTTATATAGCTTAATTTTTCTGGGTTTCCATTCCAACATCACAGTTACAACTTCAGGGCTTGATCCAGCAGGATATATCAGCGTATCTGAACTGTGCAACTCCTGGAAGATGCCACCAACCTCCCCCCTTCCCCCCAAATAAAAAAAGTGGAAATCTGGAGAAGGAAAGAGCCTCCTGATCTTGGTTACTTAGGATTCTCAGTACTGTCCACCCCAACCTTCCCCCTCTTGAAGATTGGAAGAATTGTATAGTTGGTGCAAAATGATACAACTGCAGGGATGGAAAAGCCTTCTCATATACATGGCGGCTGACCTATTTAGGAACGATGAGGGGTTCCTATTATTTAAGCAAAATCTCTCTTTTTTCTCTCATTGTGCCCCTCACAGAAGCTCTCCCAGTCCAACGTACTTTCCCTGAATTAAAAGAGGGCCCCCCCTTTTTTTTCCTTCCAAATAGCCCTATTTAACTTTCAAAAATCAACATATATCCAAGTCCTGTGAATGGTCTTACATGGGGGGCGGGCCAGGGGGAGAAGGAGAGACAGATTTGGACTCTGTCTATTGGCCAGATTTACAAAGAAAAGCAATCCAACTTTGAAGAACCTTCCTTGTGATTGCCAGAGTGCAGGAGGATTTCCTTTTCTCACACTATGTCACCTCACCACAACTTCATTTGTCTTTTTCCTTCCCTTCTTTGATTTGGAAGTAAGGCATGCTCAGTGAAAAAAGCCTCAACCTATGGAGCAGCCAACAGGAACGAGCCAAATTCGGAAAATGATGCAAAACTCCTTCTTCTGCAAAGGCTTCCGACAATGACCAAAACAGAAGCACTAGTAATACGTATTTCCAAATAAAACCTAGAAAGCATGCCGAGTAGAGCCCATTACCAACAATACTAACAACTATATTTAGTGCCCAGATAGGAGATAATGGACACTATAGAAATACTACGGATTACATTATATAACTATAGTCTAGAGGAACATATTCTGGGAAAAGAAATATCTCACATAATAGAGAGTAGTCAATTAACTGCAAAGCCCAGAAAGTTTTTAGCTTCTATGGAAGCCAGATGTTGCAGAAGGACAGTTGTGCTTTTTCCAGCTGCTCTTTTTGGTTGATAAACACATCTGTACTCTCTTATATATCACACACACATACACACAAACATATTTTTAATAAAAAAAGTTGCTTATACGTGTGATTCTCAAGCTGTGGTCTGTGGACCACTTGTGTCTATGACACAGTCCATGGAGTTGCTTCTATCTGTCAGGCTTTAAACAATAATGCTTTCTGCCATTTGCTGCCCCATGAATGACCTCTTTTAGGGTTTCCAGAGACTTTTCTGATCATCTAAAGGGGAAAATAATCCCTTTGGGCACCTTTGAACCCTGTATAGCTGCTTCATGGCTTTCTTTTTTTAGGTGTTTCTTTGATTTAAATTGAGCTGTGTTCGCATATGGAGTTGTTACTAAAACAGGAAAACAAAACCTAATTGTGAAGTGTCCTGGAAAGGAAAGGAGCTGTTGGGACTGAGCGAAAGGTCAGCACTAAATATACACATACCTACAGGGAGAGAGAGAGAAAGCGAGAGAGAATAAATAGCATGGATACAAAATTTTGGGATGGAAAAGAGTTAAGCAAGCAACTCCACCTATCACATTTTCACCTGGTATCCTTAAATATTTAAATACTATCCTGATGTTGGCAAGTACTATGGTTCCTACAGGGAAGAGGAATCAGGATCGAGGGGGGAAATGGCCTACAAGAAATTAGTTATCTTGTGAAGTTTTACATAATACCAACTAGTTTGAAAACCACTGCAGTAGGAGCAATTGTATATGAATGGCTAGGCTAGGAGTCTATAGTGCTTTAGTTGCAGTGTAAGCTTGAGAATCTAAGAGAGTCAAATCACTTACCACATGTTGGAACATCTTCTTCAGCTGATGAGGTCTGTTCATCTGTTGATGGCTTTTTCTTTCCTAAACTGATGATCTTTGTTATTTTTTTCCCTGTTACTTTAGTCACTGTGCCCTTGGTCTCTGACTTGGAACTCTTCTTCCTCTTAACTATCAAGAAAACAAACATGGACATCTTAGTATGTTTGAATGAAACCAATTATATTAAAGCACATGGATCAAAATAGAAAGGAAAACAACTGCACTGCAAATATACAAGCACAAAACTGACTTAATTCTTAACATGAGCATTTGGACAAAACAGTTGCCTTCTGACAAGAGACGCACAATTGCAGGCGCCATTAATGCTGATGCCCATATCACATGCCCAGCACAATATCAAAAACATGGCACACAGAAAGGTAAGACTAAAGCAAGTTTATCATTAAAATTCATCAGTCTAATTGCTCCTCTCCACTTTAACCATCTTCTAATTCAGAAGTGTTGTTAGGGTAATTCCATGCTGTACATTCAACCTGACTGCACTGGAACAATAAAGGATGTTGGATGATCTCCTGTCATTGTTCCTTAAAAGCATTTCCAACATAATGCCCTGGCAATGAATCAGACCATTCTTTTAGTAAGTATATGCCTGGCAAAAATATCCCTGCTATTGGAACTAGGTCAAGGTAACTATACAGATCAGAATGGGTCTTTGGGAAAGGCATGTATTATAAGATAACTTTCCTTTATAATGGAATAATCAAGATCACTTAACACTCCCAATGACTCGGAGCTGCTGTTCATTTTTATGGAAAGGACAGTGCAGAAAAAATAGTTTACTCGATCTAATCATTACATATGGGAACTTAAAATAATGCATGATTATGATTGGTCTGAACATACAATTTGGTGCTGAACTTAACTTGCTTCCATTGAAGTGAACAGGATCAGTGCTGGGGACACAACTTTCAAAAGTGGCTAAATGACTGAAGAGCCTACAGTATATATTTTTAAAAAATATAGTAGACAATCACAACCAATAAAAAAAAACCAGAGCTGCACAAAACTTTCTTTGTGAAACCAGAACCACAATTATCTGGCTTGAGTTTTATCAACAATATAAAACTCAGCCCCGATTAACTATTATTGCAAACATGGGCCCATTTTGAGCTCAACCTTAGTTGACAGACAAGAAATGAAATTTAACTTAGTGGTTTTGACAGAACTGAGCTGAGTTTCAGTTTGTTAGAACCATCTTTCCCCCCCTCCACACACACAAGCACGCAAGCAAGTACGCAAGCACCAAAAACAACTCTGTGGGTCTGAACTGAGCCCCCCCAAAAACAAATACAAGGTTCATTTGAAAGATAAGAACTGAAATGTGAAATGTTGACTTAAAAAAATAACTGGTACAAATTATGTGAATTGGCAAGTCACGGGAAAGAATGTACACAAAAGAGAAATAATTCACAAATTCTCAAACCACAATTTGTTGTCTTTTTTTTAGCCTTTGTTATTTGTTAACACGGGAAATCATTAGAAATTCCATCTGTCATCAAGACTGTCTCTTTCAGTGAGACTCTGCTACCAACATATATGCAGTGGGGGAGTCCTGTTTTCATAGGTGAAAGTGGATTATCTGAAAACCTTCAGTAGAATGATGATTTGTGTGTGGGAACAAAAAGCTAAATCCTGCCCATGGATCTGCAGGGCTGATGTAACCTAATATTGTGCTGTCCCTACATGCAACAAATTCCCAAAGTTCTAGGGAAGGAGAGCATCCCATCTGCTCATATCATCATGAGCATAGGGAGACAGCAGGAGGCAGCACTTGACTGAAGACAGGCTGCTATCTCACACAGCAGCAGCTTAAGAACATCTGCAGCTGTGGAGTAGGGGAGGGAGGGAAGAAGAATGCTTATGTCTGGGTTTGAGGAATAAATGCCCACACCCCCCATAATTCCAAGAAAGTCAAATCAAGCTCATTAAAGTGGAAAGTGCAAGGGAAGAATTCCCAGCTCCGGGAAAATGCAGTGAAAGGAGCCCACGTGAATTCTAATGTTCTTGCTTCCTCTACCTTCACTCCCCCTGGCATTTTATTCCGCCATGGAGAAGAAAGGCCGAGGAAATGACCTTTCTCCCAACCTCTTTCTCCTGCAAAAATAACAGGAGTACTTGTGGCACCTTAGAGACTAACAAATTTATTAGAGCATAAGCTTTCGTGGGCTGCAACCCACTTCTTCGGATGCATATAGAGTGAAATATTTTGAGGAGATATATATACACACATACAGAGAGCATGAACAGGTGGGAGTTGTCTTACCAACTCTGAGAGGCCAATTAAGTAAGAGAAAAAAAACTTGAAGTGATAATCAAGATAGCCCAGTACAGACAGTTTGATAAGAAGCAAGTGTGAGAATACTTACAAGGGGAGATAGATTCAATGTTTGTAATGGCTCAGCCATTCCCAATCCCTATTTAGCCCTGAGTTGATTGTGTCTAGTTTGCATATCAATTCCAGCTCAGCAGTCTCTCGTTGGAGTCTGTTTTTGAAGTTTTTCTGTTTTAAGATAGCCACCCGCAGGTCTGTCAAAGAATGGCCAGACAGGTTAAAGTGTTCTCCCACTGGTTTTTGAGTGTTATGATTCCTGATGTCAGATTTTTTCTCTTACTTAATTGGCCTCTCAGAGTTGGTAAGACAACTCCCACCTGTTCATGCTCTCTGTATGTGTGTATATATATCTCCTCAATATATTTCACTCTATATGCATCCGAAGAAGTGGGTTGCAGCCCACGAAAGCTTATGCTCTAATAAATTTGTTAGTCTCTAAGGTGCCACAAGTACTCCTGTTATTTTTGCGGATACAGACTAACACGGCTGCTACTCTGAAACCTTTCTCCTGCAGTATGTGAAAGGGATACATCCCCTGATCTCAAGACAGACTGGCAAGTAAGCCATTTCTTCTCACCTCCTTCACCACAGCAGAACAAGATGCTGGTGGACAGAGGGGGGCAGCAGCTCTGTGGGAGCAGAAGGGAGATCAGTGCACAGTGAAGCCAGCATCCCTTCACATGGCTAACTGAGCTTTCGCTCTCACTGTTACAGCTGATTTAGAAAAGAACCCTGCAACTCATTCAGAACCCCTTAAAATGATTTAGTGATGACAGCCATGTGTTAATGCATTAAATGTCATTATTTTGTATTAGTCTCTTCACTACTACAAAAGTCTGACTCTACTGTGACAGAGTTGAAGAGTTTCAAGTGACTAGTGCTTTTGATTGCCCAGCTTCGGACACTTCAAATGGGCCTGATTTTCAGAGGGTGTGCATTCAGCACTCTTTTGAAAATCAAGCCCCTATAAGGTGCCTCAAGTTGGGCACTCAAATCACTAGTCACTTGTGAAAACTGTGGACTATGCACATATTCTGGACTTCCGTACCACAGACACATGAAACCAACTTGAGTGTCTACAGCAACACAATTTTTTATGCCGTCTGTAGTTTTATGAAAGTTTCTGTAGTATGTAAATGTAGCCATACATTTTGGATATAGACGTCATAGTGAGCTACTGTGCTCCATTCTGTTGACCGGGGTGTGGAGATCTATACATTTGGGAGATTCATTTAAAATCTCCATTGGAAAAGGAGGGCAAAGATTACAAACTAAAACACCCAAAGGAAAGAAACACCCACTTGTGTCAGGAAGGGGAGACACAGTGCTTGCCCAAAAGCCAGTGCTGATGCAACTGTTTTTCAATAGAGTTTACATCAGCTTTTTCACAGCTACAGGAAAGTACTGATTAAAGCAGATGTGCTCTTCTGAACAAGACTGAGTATTGGTATATGTCAAGCTAACTAGGTTGGTATCACCTATTTACAGGAGTCTTTTCTTCAAGGGGAAACAAAAAGATAATCTGGGGATTGATTTTGCAGATCTTACTCTGGAAATTGAATTTGGAATGTCCCTCAGCTTGGAATCTAAGGACTGGGAACAAACTTTCTGACTCCAAAGTGGAGTACAACATTTTAAAGTCATTTAGCATACATGATTCTTGTCTTCCCTTATAAAATTCTATGATACCCTTCCTGTTTAAAATTATAGGGGAAAACCTTACATGCACTTAGTGATTGGCTCAACTCCCCCATTGAAGACAGCATACTTTATAAACACAGGAAAAAGTCATTTCAAAACTTACATATGGACCTTGATCCTGCTGTCACTTACATCAATGTTACATGTGGATAACTCTGTTAACTAGAATGGAGATATTCTAATATCCACCAATGTAAAGGTTTATGTAATTCAAGCTTGGCACAGTTCAACTTTCAGGGTAGATATAAGACTAATTACATTATTTACAAAGCATTATTGCCTATTCCCCTAAGTCATAAAAGAAAAAAAAATATTATATTCTTTATACTGAATACGTAAAACACACTCTGCATGTGGGATTCACCTTGTTCTTTTCCATTACACACAGCAGCGATTCCATTTTCTATAGCACCCTCCCCATCTGAGCTTGGCCTCTCGGAGGACAATTTCTGCATGGACAAAATAAATTAAGTCATTTCTCATGTGGTCACACTGGCCAAATGATGTGTCATCAGTCAAATTAAAGTTATGCTTATTATTAAATTAAATACATGCCAAGCATCCATCCTGAAGACAAATATGAGATAGTCAAGAGTTCATTTACATTACATAGATTTCTTATGTCACCACACAAGCATTAAAACAAAACAAAACTAAGCACACACTAGAACTGTATTGCCAAATATATCCCATTCTTTTATCCTTTGAAGAGTAACAGACGAATCATGTAACCCAAATCTAACAATGAACCATGTTACCCATAATATATTTTTATTGCATTTCTAGATTCTAAAATGTTGTTCTCTATTAATGTGCTAACCAACAAGTGCTCATTTTACATACAATAAATCTTCAAAACTATATCTTTAATGAATGCTTTAGGTATACATTTACAACTGACAACCTACCAAACACAACACATTTCTATAGGTAGAATTTCAGTACTTTCGATGTGTGTAAGTAAAGGTCCCTTGCTGGTATGAACTAGAGTAAATGGTGGATTCTCTGCAACTGGAAGTCTTGAAATTATGATTTCAGTAACTCAGCCAGAGGTTATGGCTCTATTACAGCAGTATGGGGGTGCGGTTCTGTGGCCTGCAATGTGCAAGAGGTCAGATTAGATTATCACAATGGTTCCCTTAGAGTCTGAGACTATAAAAAAGTCTGTGAAATTAGAGACTAGCAATTATGTGTATATTACTAATAAAAAAATTAAAAATCTAAAGTTTATAAAATAGCTATTACCTAAAATGTGTGGCATAAAGAAAACTCATATGTTGTGGCGTGCCATAAAACTTTTTATTGGCATCTGTTTAACACGTTTTACATAACTCATTCATGGCTTCACCACTTATGAGTAACATCGGCATCCCAAATTTGTGGCAAGGAAAACTTTATACCGCACCATCGTGTGTTTCCTTCCCAGCCGGTACAGAGTGCTAAAAACTTAATTGAACAGACTCTTTTCTTGCATACATTGAAAGGTCTGAAATGCTACCTATACAAATGCGTTGTTTGTGTAAGGCTGTCAATTGTAAATGTATATCTAAAGCATTCATTAAAAATATCATTTTGAAGATTTCTTTCATCTATGAGCACTTCTTACCTGATCTTGCTGTTTAGCATATTAATAGACAGCAACATTTTAGAATCTAGAAATATAATATATATATATTGTATAACAGGCAAGGGAAATTATATAAAAATATACCTTAATTACCATAAGCCAAATCCTGATCTTAGTTATACTGGTGTAAATGGAGAGGAATTCCATTGATGCCAATGGCAATACAAAAATGTAAATCTAGGCTACCCTAAGTATGGACTTTGACCTCCAGACTCTTGAGGTCAAATCCTAGTCAATGGGACTTTTAAACATTAATCTTTAATGGGACCACGAGTTGGCCCATAAGAAATAGGACTGCCATCTTGCAATGGGGTCTGACTGCGCAGATGTCACGCAGGCTAGGGGCCTAAAGCAGCGCTGCCATGGTGAGCACTTGGTGCGTTCATGCCTCACTTTACAGACATCCTGTTCATTGTTAGTCTGCTGCCTCAGGGTATGTCTACACCACAATTAAAAACCCACGGCTGGCCCATGCCAGCTGACTTGGGTTTGCGGGGCTTGGGCTAAGCGGCTGTTCAATTACGGTGTAAATGTTCTGGCTTGGGCTAGAGCCTAGGTTCTGGGACCTTGGGAGGTGGGAGAGATCTCAGAGTTCAGGCTACAGCCTAAGCCTCATTGTCTCACCACAATTAAACAGCCTGTAAGCTCGAATCAGCTGGCATGGGCCAGCCACGGGGGTCTAACTGCAGTGTAGATATACCCTTAGTGAGTCAGGGAGCCAAGTGTCTCTGTGCCAAGACATGAGCACTTCACAGGCTCTAAACACTGCTACCTCGGTATGCAGGGGTGCTCAAGCCTCAATACAGAATGGACTTCCTCTGCCAGGCCTCCAAAACCCCAGTCCAGCTCATCATAACCCCACCACCCATTCCTCCCCAGGCTCCACATCCCTGCTTGTTTCCCTTTGCCCCCACAGGTCCATCTCTACACCAGAGCTCACCCACCATGTCCCGTGCTACTTACCATGCCTGCTGGTAAGCATCTAAAACAAAAAGCTGCTGATGGATATGAAGTTGGCCAATTTTGGGTTGCCTGAATATGAGGAATAATTGTGTGTGTATTTCATTTAAAAAATGGCCTGTGCCAGAGATGTTATCAGAATGTGAGAGCAATTTGGAGTCTTTGGGAACTGTGCAACTTATCTGAGGAACCCAAAGAAATGTGAGGAAGAAGGGGCAAAATTTCTAAAAATGCGGCATCTTAAAATGGTTCCTCTGCAAAAGTTACCAAGTATTTTACTGAAACAGCTACACAGTTACTGTGCCAAATGTAGAGATTGAATTCAATCATTAATTAGAGTCTTGCTTTAAGGGTAAATGCAACCTGAACTTTAGAGTCACTATTGACACCTCCATAATATAACATCATCATCTATCTTTGCATTAGTAATTCTTTAACTTTACCTTTTCCAGTTCTGTCTTGTGTATCGGAGAACTAGATGATGGTCCATCTGAATCTATCGCTCCAGTGCAGTTGCTGCAAACATCTTTTATCACCTTAAAAAGATATACAAAATGGTTTCATTGACACACAAGTCAAAGAACAGAAAAATTTTATTTTGCTGAGCAGAGGACTTTATTTGAGATGAAGCACTAAGAATATTTGCTATCCTGAAGGTTAAAACAGCAGTGTGGAAATTATTCTCTTTATCCATAGGCAATATGTTAGGCAGGCTGCCACTGCTTGAGCTTCTCCACATTGCCTCACTAAGTCGCTTCATGAATGACCTGGAGGAGCCATAATGTCTAGAGGTGAAAGGTTTCAATTTCTAGACGAGCTAATCTCCAAGCCTCTCCTGAGTAAAGAAGCTGCCAGCACTTGCAGTTTTGCAACACGAACTCAGCTGACACCACCAAATTCATTTAGTTATGACTAAGAAATGGGATTAGATCCAAGGTCCTGCAAGCCAGGGGACAGCACTGCTGCCTAGTATGCTACCCAGCTGCTCTTTTTCTAATGAAGAAATAATGATGTACTGACCAAATTGCAGATCTGTATCTGATACTCTTGAGTGTGTGGTTTAAATGGATTTTTCATATTCATTATGTGATGTTCAGTGGTCACAGTAACATTGACACTGAAGCATAGATCATACTAATTGCAAATATCTCTTAGGAAATGTGAGTTATTTTATGCGCCCCTCTCCTGCAAAGAAAGAAAAAAAAATTCACAGAAGGAGACAGATTTTGATAGAATTCATGGGAGCTCAAAAACTGCATCTGTAAAATAAGGCCTGAAAAAATATAAAGGCAAAAGGCTTTTACTTTTCCTGTTTTCTCTGTGCACACAGTTTGGTTTTGATTCTTAGATGGGGTTGCCACCTACCAATCTTCATACTGGAGTACCTGGTGTTGAGGGGAATGTTTGCGTTCTTGATTGCCTTAGATGCCTTAGAGTGTAGATATGGCCAGAAAAGTGACTATGCAAAAGTGAGACCTTCTTAATTAACAACTCTCCTCCCTGGGTGTAGTCAGAGTAGCATCTGCTGACCTGAATGACATATATATGGTTTTACTGCCTTTTGCCCTTGCTAACGCAGCAGAGTCCACCCAACTAAGAGAAGAATGCATTTTATTGTGGCTGAGCCATCATTAACAGAAATGTGAATTAAGTTCCAAATGTAGGGCCAAATTCTGCCCTCATTTATACTTGTGACATCACATGATTTATCTAGCGAGAGAAGTTGGCCCACAGAACCTTCACTCCCAGTGATGGTACGCAAGCCAGAATACAAGCTTAACATTCAGACCCCAGGCTGTTTGCACGGCTGAAATAAAAATGTCTTTTACTTGCAAACTGAGCAAATTTGATATGGAAACCATTAATACATAACAAAGATGGCATCAAATAATGTCCTTTTCTAGTTACTAGAGCTGAATCCCCCCTTTAAGGGCATACTAAGCAAACCAAGTATCTATCTAAAGTACTTATATGGCCCTGTTATTGCAGTATCTGAAGCAGGGCCGGCTCTGGCTTTTTGGCCACTCCAAGCAAAAAAAAACCAAAAAACAACGACAACAAAAAAAATGGGGCGGCCAGAACGGCAGAGAAAAAAAAAAAAAAAAGAAAAACCTGCGGCGCGGCTGGGGGAGGGGAGGGAGCGGGCGGAAGAGAGAGAGAAGGGGGCGGCCAGGGCTACAGCAGGGGCGCTGCCACGCGGCCCCTCCCGCTGCGCCGCCTCCTGCCGCCTGCTGCAAGGGCTCCACTCCGGTCGGTGGGGAGGGAAGGAAGAGGACTGCCCTGCAGGGCGCTCTGGTTCTCCCTACAGGGCGGCCGGAGTGGAACAAGAACAAAACAAAACAAAACAAAAAAAGCGGCCGTGCCGCCCTAAGATTGGGCAGAATGCCGCCTCGAACAATCTGCCGCCCCAAGCACCAGCTTGCTCAGCTGGTGCCGGCCCTGATCTGAAGGGGAATTGAGGCCCAGAGAGTCTAAGTGCCTTACCCAAGGTCATACAGGAAGAAGCTAGGAGAGCAAGGAACTGAACCCAGGTCTCTTGCTTCCCAGGCTAGCAGCCTAAACACTGGCCCATCCCTCCTCTCAGGCCTGTTACCACTCTACTCCCTTCCTCCCTGCCCCCCAAACACACCCACACTCTTTTGAGGGCCACACAACTCATGCAATTCTGCATCTTGAGGTCTGGCCCCAGCGCTCGCTCTCTCTTGTCAGTAGCAGGGTATGAATACCACTTAACAACAACAACTTTGGCATCAAGACCAGATACAGATACAACTTATGGTCAGATTTAATTCCTGTGCTTCTGTTTAGTGGAAGTATCTGAGTGTTTTATTTGTAAAGAAAATGACCATTCAGTTTCTGGGAACATTCATTCCTGTCTCCTGCATGACCTTGATACAACGGCTCATGTTTTCAGCATCTGGTCACACCACACAGTTAGTTAATTTTGGCAAAGGCAGATAGTAATGGAAGTTACAGACAGAACAGAGGGAAATGATTTGGCAGCAACCACAGAATAGTATGTGCAAGTCATGCACTCGAGTAAATACTGTTCTCGAAATACCTCACACACTTAAGGGAAAGTTTTCCCAAAGTGCTTAATTGGGTTTTAATTAAATTTTGAATAAAAATGATGCACTATCATAGGAAGCTCATGGCAAACTCTGAAGCAAATGCATATTCAAAAATTCAGTATGTGAACATCTTGGGGTTCAAGGGATCCATCTTCAGCTGGTGAAGACTGGGTTCATCAATTTCTAGGTGGAACATTACTGTGTTTCATACACAGTTTCAAACTTGTACTTCCATGGTGTTCTGGATGAGTGCTTTGATGCCCCTTCTATAATTCTGGTGCCACAATAATTGCTGTTTTCACATGCTCATAGTTTTTACTCACAACTTTTGAAGCTGAAACATCAGTGTGGCCAAATCTCATGATTTCATCACGAGTCTTAGAATATATGTTGATTTTCTTAAAGCCCCAGGACCTGGAGTCATATGAATACACAAGAATCTCAGCTTTCATTTAAAACAACTAAGTTTGCATCCCTCCTGGTCACAGAGAAAAGCATGAAAATGTGACTTGAGCATATCCTAATGGCTCAAAAAGGCAAATAAAAATTTATTTTTAATATAATCTCATTATTTGGGGATCTGACTTATGATTTTTGAATGCTAATACTATCTCATGCAGTGTATACTCAAAAAAGAGTCTTTCATGGAAAGATTGAACAAAATTCCTTCAATATTTTAAATTTCAGTATGGGGGTGGGTGGGAGGAAGAGAGTTCCCCCCCACACACACACACAGAGACAGAAGTAGCGTTCATACATGCCATCTGCTGACACCGATCCATTGAGAAAGTCAATCAAAGTTTGTATGAAATGAAGCATTATTTTAAAGTTTAGGACCATGTAAAGTCAGCACACTGCAGGCTTTTCATTTTTGGGGGGATCAATTTAAAGCTAAACCAGTTTAAAAATAAACCTGTCAAATTGCAGTCCCAAAAAATTAAAAATATTTCAGTTCTTAGCATGTGAAAATGGACTGTTGGAATGAAAAGGTTGAAAATGTCTAGCCTGGACATTTTTGTGCAGCCTGAACTATCTCATTAATATTTTTTTCTATTACAATAGTGCTTGGAGGCCCCAACTAGATCAGGAGTCTGTAGTCCGAACTATTGTACCAACATAGGTCTGATCATGCGAACACACACACTGTGTCTTATTGACATCAGTGGGACGAGGCACACAAGGTAAGTGTTTACAGGATCAGGGCCAAATAGAAGACAGAGTACCTGCCCCAAGGGGCTTGCCATCTAGGTGTGAAATCCTGGTCCCACTGAAATCAACAGGAGTTTTGCCATTGACTTCAACGGCCAGGATTACATTCCTGGTGTTCCCAGGTGCTGGGCCTACATGCTCCTACTACATAAGCATTTGAGTTAATTATAGGGTGCTCACTTGTACTGAACTCATCAATTTCCACAATTACTATAAACTATTTTAAATTAACACTATCAAGGCTGGAAGGCCCAAAATTTGACCTACCTTTCTTTCTTTTAGATGCTTGTAAAACCCAAAGGCTCTAGTCACCGGAAATTACCCACCATCTTCCATGATACAGGCTGCAGATAAGATACTGGCTATGTAGTAAGCCAGAGAACAGGTTGCCTGCTATGTAGAACCCTCCAGAAAAAGAAAAACTCCCCTGCATTCCACAGAATGGCAGAGATGTGCTAAGTGAGAAGAACTTGAGTAAATGAACTTCTTGCTTCCTGGCCACTGCTTCCTAACTCTGAAGATAGGTATACTGTCTCTTTAAAAGTGGTGGCTGGGGAGGGTTCTATATAGGAGTGCTAGAATGAAAGAGAGGGAGAAAAAGTAGCCTTAAGGCCAAGCCCTTGTGGTTCTTATTCTCATTTAGCTCTTATCTCCGTGTTAGAAGAAGGCGATTATTTACCATTATCAAATGTGACAACGGCATCCTCAGTCTGTCTGTCTTTCTCTTCAGCCTGTGCGAGTTACGGCCCTAGTAAAGTACCAACAAAGTGCGGGATGTTTTACAGGCCGATATGAAGACCTCTCCGTCTAGCAATTCACATAAGTAGCCCCAGCAGGCTAAGAGGGAGAGAAGAAATAACTTTCCCACGCTACTCTCCAAGTGCTAAAGAGGAGCTCGTGCTCCCCATTGCAACGACACACCTCTTGTAAAAGCACCCCTAGACTGAAGTGAAAAGGACCATCTCCCCTGCCCATTACCATTGGTTGGGTGGAGTGGAGAGTGGCAGGGGACTTCAAACGAGCTAGCAGCCACCAAGATGGTCTTTAGTCCACATATTTCCCCATTAAAATTCCCTCCTGTCTGACATTCAATCAGGCCAACCCCCATACACACTGGCCTGTGTTATTACCATCAAACCTACTGCCATATATGGCAACTGGATCAGAGTCTTGTGAAAAAAAAGAGCGTTGGGCAGCTGTGTAATGTTGCTTTAGGCACTGGCACTGCACTGCTGCTACAAATGTGGAGGTACCCC